TAACCAAGCTGGTCCGATTCCAATGACTTTGGGCGAATCTGGTTAAGGCCAATCTCGTGGTACAATCCATTTCTTTATATTTCAATTGAAACTCCTCAAACCATTATTTCGTAAAAGGCCTTGTATTTCTTTTCCTTTCTTTTTCTTATATTGCATTTCCTTATACTTCTTTCAAAAAAACAACAAAAAAGCTTGCGAAAAAATCAAAATTTTTGTAACTTCACGTTAATATATTAATGACAATGTTTAGACGATAAATTAAACCTTACTAATACAGTAATAAAACTGACCTATACTCCTATACTATTATTTGGGGAGTACACTTTATAAGATACCCTTAACTAACCTTCACTTTTGTAAGAATTTACTTAAGAATGTCATTACAAAAATATTATTTTAGAACAAATTTCATTCAATTTATTAAGGATAAACAAGTAAAATACTAATTTATGTCATTTAATTAATTTAATTAAATTATAAAACGAAAATCTGTTATTTTTTTTTTTTTTAAATGACCAATCAAAATGAACATATAAGATTTGATATCTAACTTACCATATTAATTTGTTATTAATCATTAAACTTCACTTCTCAACTTTATATGATTATATTAATATGAAACAAATAAATCATCATATCATCTACATAATAAATAAAAAAAAAGTAAACTTTTTTCTGCATATGTCAAGATTTAAATTTTTAAAAACGCATATAAATTGTTCAATCTATAAAGGAAACAATTAAACGGGTCAAAAATTAAGACTTGAGTAATATACTTTTTTTACACAAAAATAAAGTCAACAAAAATTCCGACTGAGCAACGGGTCAGAATTTGAATATTTATATTCGATTTCATACATTTATTTTTTGAAATGTATAATTTTATATACTACAATAAAAATTAAAATATTTTAATTTGCAACATTTAAAATAAGTTTTACTTGATATTTTAGAGAATATCATCAATACTTAATAGTCCAAAAATTTAAAAATTATAAATACTCTAATTTGATTATTTTTAAAAGTATTTATAATAGGTAGCGGGTTAAATATAATATATTATATGATGAAATGAGTTTTGATCCTTATAACTAATTGAATAGTTATATTTAATTTCATATAATTTCTTTTTTAAAATTCATAATTTTATAAACTACAAAAAAAAATTAAAGATTTTAATTTGGAATATTTAAAAATAGTGTAGAACATTTAAATATGGTTTGACACCTCTAAATATTTAAAAACTTGATTCCGCAAGCAATTTTAGAATTAACGAATAATAGATTGTGCACGCAATATTTTAAAATATTGAGATTCTAAAATAAAAATATAGACTCCACGCACGGATTGATTTTGGTATTATTATATACAAAATATATGTTTATAACATATTCGATTATGCGAATAATTGGTAAATTCCGTAATTATAAATCTCAAACAAATTCTGTAATTAGATTAGCTCAAACAAATCTTTATTTCAACAACCAAAGAATTATGAATTGAAAAAGAATTTTCTAAATTAATTCAAAATAATACCTAATTTTCTTAATTAATTCAAAATAATCTATGTTTTATCTGCGATTTATTTATGATATTTTAATTTTTGATCTAACTGAAATATATGCAATCCTATTTTGTGGTTGTTAACATAAATTAACTCATTGTTCAAAAAATATTACTTTTAAAAAAAAAATTATTTTCCGTTTTCATATCTTAAAAAAAAGTTTTATCCATAATTGAGTATTATAGAAAAAAAATCTATATTTATTCTAATATTGTATATAGGGACTGGCGAAAAAATTAATATTTTTTCACTTACTATTATAATATATTAAAACTTAGTTCTAATATATATATTATATAAATTTTATAATAAATAAAATTCAACCCGTACTTTAGTACGGGTGATGATCTAGTTTCAATTATCATACTATAATGGTATCACGTTTTTTATTTCATTATAATAAAAATAAACTAAAAGCAATATGATTAATGTCTTTTTGGGTACTCTGTTTTTCAAATAAATTCCAAACAAATTTTTCATTGATGAATAACAATCGCAATGATTTCTACAACATTTTCATAGTTCAACAATTGGGAACCAATGCTGGTTTGGTCTATGACATCATCACCATCTATGATCAATAAGATAATGGTGATCATATTGTAGCGGTTATAGATGCGAAGAGACGACGTAAAACCAACAATTCAAGTTGACTAAATCAGTAGCACTCTTGTTCGGACTTAATTGTTCAAATTTTTAATTTGGACTGAAACATATCAAAACTTTTTAATTTAACCACATGGTGGTGGGCGAGTGGTTCTCGTTTGGTTGGAAGGATCGCCTTGTTGGTCTAGGCCAGGGATCGATCCTCCCCAGACGCAGTTTCGCTCTCTCACTCCTGTGGCCACCTGGGAATTTACCTGCGGACTTGCTCAGGCGCCCCAGACCACCAGTTTATCAGGGGGCCCTTAAGTGGAGGCTTAAAAATCCCTGTGACGCGGGCTTAGGCCCAGTGGGCTAGTCAGATCACTGTGTGGTCTGGATACTGGGTTATCAAAAAAAAAAATATCAAAACTTGATGCGTCTTATTATTATAGGATGTATGTATGCGTTTATTTAGCAATGTCCAAACAAGGGAGGTACGTATGCACAAGTAGGCGGTTGCAGCGGCACAAGTAGCCTCCTTCTCAGAAGAGAGTTTCGCAGTACATGAAAATCATGGATCATCAGGTTTAAGAAGACAATCCTGAGACTGAGCACCTAAAACCTTGTGTAGAAAATAGAGGAAACGGTGCAACAATTCTGGGAATCTGTCCAAGAGGAAGAAAACTACACAGAGACCGAAGCAGAAGCAAAGGAAACAATGAAGAGGACAGAGCTACAACTCGGGAAGGGGTAGGAGATATATTATCAGCAGAAGCACCACGGATAGGCATGTTGCTATTGCAATAGTTGAAGCACAAGTAGTGAGGCATCCCCCTCACTGAGAGCCTAAGGAGGAGGAGGAGAATTTGGATTTGTGCAATGAGGTCCTCAAGCAAAAGTCTCAGTCTGTCTCGAGTAAGACAATAAAGTGGTGGTTCACTTAAGGCAACCAAGTCGAGATACTAAATGTGAGCAGATTTTGACTAGCTAATCAAAGAGCTCTCAAATTGAGCTTACATAATCATCCACAGAGAAACGAGGTCAAACTAGATAATGAATGATAATAGAGCATACTTAATCATCCACACACAAACGTCATACATATGGAGCTTACTTAACAAACATGGTAAAGAAAGAAAGAGCATATACTTACTTAAATCATCCACACACAAACGTCATACATATGGAGCTTACTTTAATAAACATGGTAAAGAAAGAAAGAGCCAAAGGAAAGGGGGTTGCATTGTATCCAACAAGTGATAAAAACAAAGCAGGTTGCATTGTACCTCGATCCAAATTTATGATGAGGAGGCAAAAGGAAGATTAAGATGCCTATAATCCATTCTGGGATACGGCCTGGCCTTAACAACAAGTGTCTTTCCTCCCAATTCAGTTCCATTAAGTTGCATCACCTTCTCATCAGCGTCATCTCCGACCATGACGATAGTAGCAAGGCCGTTGTCAGGATGTCTCCGGACAGAAGCCCTAAGGATTGCTCCACATGACTTGAAATGATTGATCAACGCCTCCTCCATCTCATCCGCAGGAAGAGAAGTGTCGAAGCCCTCAACGTCAATAACCCAACTACAATAATAATAATTCAATCAATCAACACATGATGAAGAAAACATCTTCGCATAAAAAAAAAAAATCTTCGCATATACAAATCTCGAAAAAATCAAAGCATCAATTTACCTGCGTATTGGTTTCTCAAAAAAGGCTTTCATCTCAGGATTAGAAGCAAAAAAGTTCAACCCCTAAAAAAGTACAAAAGATCTAATCAGAAACCATTAATTGATAAACAGAGAGAGCCATAAGGATTAGGAGAGGAAGATTACTTGCAAGGCTCCGTAGACGGGAGGTGGCTGACTGAACATACCCATGTCCATGGCGAGGTTGAGAAGAGTCGATAACCCTAGGATCAATATATTTTTTCCTCCGATTTTAGGGATTTCAATTTTAGGGATTTCAGAGGACGACCACGACGACGAAACTATTTATTATCCTTTTTTCTTTGCTTTAGAGGTTAAAACTGTCTTTTCTCTCTTTATTTCTGCATTGATTCCGTGACGCCTTTTTTTTTTTTTTTTTTGTTCAAAGTCTGATTTCCTTTTATCACGCACCGACCCAACTAAAAATCTCCTTTCGATTTTTTGGTTTGCGCCGGTTCGATTCGGATGCACCCAACCATTAACCGGAATTAAAACTTTTCCTCTTCCTAGACAAGTACGTAGACGACATATTCTTTTCTTACTTTGCCCAGCAAAAAGCTGGCGTAGCAGATGAAACTTAGAATATTCAACCACATTTTTTTTTTTTTTTTTCACATTTTTTTTTCTAATTACTAACACAACATCAATGATACGTAGCACCCACCCACACGATAATATTTCTAACACACTAAGACCACCTCCATTGGTGAGGAGTATTATGCAAAGACTTAGCTTAGGATCTTAAGTTAAAAATCAAAAAATCCTGTAAAACATTTTATCTGAGGGAGTTTCACAGGATTCTTTTTCTCTTTTCTTTTTTATCAAACATTTCAAATTTGAATCCTAATATTGACTCACTAACATAAACTATTGCGTTCTAAAATTTGTTTTCTTTTCAAAAAAAAAAAGGAGAAGTCTATTTGGTTTAATTTCTCAATAATCATATTCCATCTTGAAACTTTTACCCCATGAGAGTTCCTAGTAGCACTATTATAATAAAAAAAAAAACAAATTGTACCGATTTTCAGAAATTGAAGTTGGTGGAGGTTTCGTGATCAAATCTTATTGTTTGTAGAAAAACATTTTCTGATAACACAACTTTAGTTTAGACACCCCTTTCTTCTAGATAGATCTTATCCGATTCATAATTATTGGTGTAAGATTCTTTTAGTTTTAGTAAGATCATTATTGACGTCGTAGTTATCATCAATAAGTAAAGATCATTGACAATTACGTACGTGGAGTCTATAGCTAACTGCTAAAAAGAATGTTTGTTTTAGATCTTAATATAACTGGTGTAATAATTGGTGTCTTGACATAAAAGATGAATTTACAACAAAAAAATATTAAGCTTTTACACGTGTACTTTGTGTAGGGGACTGTGACAAAATACGATGAGGCTAATCATATGGATACTTTGTTGATATGAATCTAGAAACTATTCAGAGCCTTTTTACACCTGTATACTGCATTTCAACAAATTAGTACAAGATTCTCGTAGTAACCAATTATTGGAAATTTAAACATAACGTCTCGCAAAAGAGTGTCTTTAATTATGAAGAATTCGTTTCAGTCTATATTATGTCACTATATGATATGATTATCAAATCTACAATTAATTTTTTTGTTAAAATCAGGGTTTTTCATTCATGAGTTATCAAATTAAAATATTTTCGAAGACGACTTCTAATACAAAAGTACAAATACTTTAAAGATTAGATGTTTTGAAAAGAAAAAAAAATCACAAGTGCTAGACTCTAGCATATAAAAATGTTCAATATCTGCATATGGTAGAATTGTACATGTTGTAACATTCGTCTCTCTGTGTTAACTCGCCCCACAACACGTTGCAAAGTGTTATTCATATGATCGGTCGGGAGGATCTTTCCGACCGACGAAGACCACCCTTTTTTCACTCTGGTTTTTGACGGCGGTTTATTTCTGCCTAAAGTCAACGGCAGTTTCTTGTCTCCCCTCCTTTCGGGAGTTAACTGTCAACCGAAACCGCCATGGATCACAAACTATAAAAACCACCAATTTGTCTCCTTTTCTCAATCAATCCTTTCTAAACCTCGATTTCAAGTACGAATCATGAGTGATTATCTAAGGAAATCCGTTCAAGACCTTGATTTGGGTATTGATGATGACCCAATCGCCCTCCCCGCAGATTTTGTTTCTCAAGCGGCTTCGGTCAACCGCTTCTCTCTGATTGTTACAACGGTGAATCCGCGCAAACAAAACTTAAGAGCTCTCATTGGACAGATGCCAAGAGTCTGGGGTTTTGCTGATTCCTGTGTCGGACGAATTCTGGGTAAGGGTCAAGTTCAATTCAAATTCCAGACAGAGGAATCGATGAACTTGGTTCTCAGACGTGGCCCTTGGTCCTTTAATGACTGGATGTTAACCATCCATCGTTGGTATCCGAACATTTCAGAGGAAGAAATGAAAATCATTCCTTTTTGGGTTCAGATTCAAGGTATTCCTCTTCTCTATCTGACGAATGCTATGGCCCGTGCTGTTGGGAATAAGTTAGGTAGGGTTTCTGCTGTAGATTTTGATGAGAATGTGAGTCAAGTGGGATTTGTGAGAGTTAGGCTAGATTGGAACTTCGATGATCCACTTCGTTTCCAGAGGAACATTCAGTTTAACAGGGATGAGAACACTATCATTAAGTTCCGGTTTGAAAGGCTGAGGAACTTTTGCACCAAGTGTGGCTCCCTGAAACATGATGCAAAAGAATGCTCTCTTGTGTTTGAAGATGAAAACCCTGCAGATTCTGATGAAGAGAATAATGGGGATTTTCAAAACAATGCTAATGAGGATCAACAGAATAATCACGATGGAGACAATGCGATGGCTGAAGATGGAGATGACTCACTTCCTAGTGTTGATCCGGCTACTTTGATTCCTGGCCTTCAGAGACAAGCGGCTTCTGCTTTCAACATTACTTTCTCTCCATCAGACTCCGTTTCTTCAAACAGTCTTAGTGTTTTTGAAGACACAGAGTTAACTGCTGAAAGACTCAGGTACCTTCATGCCAAGCTTACCCGTGAGGCACTTCTGAATGAAAGAAAGGATGATTTTCTTGACGCAGATCCTACCAAGACAGAGTCTGAGTTTGTGTTTACCAAGAGAAAAAGAGTCAGCTTTGAAACCAGATACAACCAGGCTGAAGCAGCGGAGGAATCGGCAGCCCTGAGCCACTTCCGCAAAAAAGAAAAGAAGAAAGAAACAACTGCTTTGTTTGCACCAATTCCAGGACTTGCCGGAGGCGCGGAGGGCCCGGTACCTCCATATGTTCCCCCATGAGGATCACATCCTGGAATTGTCAAGGATTAGGAGCACCACTAACACAATCTCGTTTACTCCGCTTATGTAAATTATCTAGGTGTGATGTTTTATTTTTAATTGAAACACTTAATAAGTGTGACGTTGTTCGTAATCTAGCGTGTGTATTAGGTTTTAATAATGTAATAACTCAGCCCCCACAGGGTCGAAGCGGTGGCTTGGCCTTGATGTGGAAGGATAATGTACGTTTGTCCGAAAACTTTAAGGATGAACGTCTTATCGATGTACATATAACTAATAATAACATCAGCTTCTATTTGTCTTGCGTGTATGGCCATCCTTCTCAAAGTGAGCGCCATTACCTTTGGGATCACCTTAAACATATTTCACTTACACGCAATGACTCCTGGCTTTTGATCGGCGACTTCAATGAGATTCTCTCTAATTCAGAAAAAATAGGTGGACCACCAAGGGAAGAATGGACCTTTAGAGAGTTCAGAAACATGGTTTCTTCTTGTGATTTAGTTGATATAAGATCGAAGGGTGACAGGTTCTCTTGGGTTGGTGAACGTCACACTCACACCGTGAAATGCTGTTTAGATAGAGCATTTATAAATACAGAGGCTGCGGCTACTTTCCCATTTGCAGAGCTCGAATTCCTTGAGTTCGCTGGCTCTGACCATAAACCCTTGCTTCTATCTATGGAGAACACAGCCACCACAAGAACGAAATCATTTTTCTTTGACAAAAGGCTCGTTGACATTCCACACTTCAAAAGGTGTGTTAAAGAAGGCTGGGAAAATGGCAAAACAACTCATGGCTTTCAGATTATGGACCAAGTTAGGACTTGTCGTCATCATTTGTCACGTTTGAAACATAGATCAAATCTGAATGCGGATTCTCGAATCAAAGAACTACAATCGCAGCTAAACGCAGCGATGTCGAGTATCTCAAGATCTGAGAGACAAGCAATTCCGCAAATTCAAAGGGACCTTGCCCAAGCGTACAATGATGAGGAGAAATATTGGCATCAAAAAAGTCGCAACAACTGGATGATAGGAGGCGACAGGAACACTGGATTCTTCCACGCGTGTACAAAGACTAGGTACACAAAGAACAGAATCACCACAATTAAAGATGATCAAGGAAATGTCTACAACGGCGATAAAGAGATTGGTCTACATGCTCAACGCTTCTACTCTGGAATTTATGCTAGCAATGAACGGCCTGTTTCTCCTATAGACTTTGCGGATTTCAGCCCCACAGTGACCCAAGCGATGAATTCTGATCTGTGTCGTGAGTTTAGTGACGACGAAATATACAATGCAGTTTGTTTGATAGGCGATGATAAGGCTCCCGGTCCTGACGGTTTCACTGCGAGATTTTATAAAACTTGTTGGGACATTATCGGAGCTGACGTAATATCAGAGGTTAAAAACTATTTTAGAACTTCATCAATGAAACCACTGGTAAATCACACAAACATTTGCATGATTCCTAAGATAACCAACCCGGAAACTCTCTCGGACTATAGACCAATTGCTTTATGTAATGTTCTATACAAGATCATCTCCAAATGCCTTGTAGCTCGCCTTAAAACCCATCTAGATGCAATCGTTTCTGACGCTCAAGCAGCATTTATTCCGGGTAGGCTTGTGAATGATAATGTCATGATAGCTCACGAGATCATGCATTCTTTAAAGGCAAGAAAAAGAGTTTCCCAATCTTACATGGCGGTAAAAACCGATGTAAGTAAAGCTTACGATCGAGTTGAATGGAAGTTTTTGGAAACAACGCTACGTTTGTTTGGATTCTGTGAGCAATGGATTCATTGGATAATGGGGACTGTTAAGTCTGTTGAATATTCAGTCCTTATTAATGGCTCTCCATATGGCTTGATCAAACCTAAACGAGGTATCCGGCAAGGGGATCCACTCTCACCTTACTTATTTATTTTATGTGCCGATATATTAAGTCATTTAATCAAGTCCAGAGTTGACGATGGTGACATTCGGGGAATACGTATTGGTGTGGGGGTTCCAAGTGTTACTCATCTTCAATTCGCGGATGATTCCCTTTTCTTCTGTCAAGCTAATGCTCGGAATTGCCAAGCGTTGAAAGATGTGTTTGATATCTACGAATATTATTCTGGTCAAAAAATTAATATGAGTAAATCAATGATCACTTTTGGATCTAAAGTGTATGGCAGTACTCAAACTCGACTAAAAAATATTTTGGGGATCCAAAACCATGGCGGTGGCGGCAAATATCTCGGTTTACCGGAACAGTTTGGACGAAAGAAAAAAGAAATGTTTGATTATATCATTGATCGGGTAAGGAAAAGAACATCGAGTTGGAGTGCAAAGTTTCTTTCCCCGGCTGGAAAAGAAATTATGATCAAATCAGTTGCAATGGCAATGCCGGTTTACGCCATGTCGTGCTTTAAACTCCCTGCGGGTGTAGTTTCAGAAATAGAGACAATTCTTATGAACTTTTGGTGGGAAAAGAAAGCAAAGCAAAGAGGAATCCCGTGGATTGCTTGGAACAGACTTCAATATTCCAAGAAAGAAGGAGGGTTAGGCTTTAAGGATTTAGCTAAATTCAACGACGCTCTACTTGCAAAACAAGCTTGGAGGATCATTCAATATCCTAACTCTCTATTTGCTCGCTTAATGAAAGCTCGATATTTCAAAGATGAGTCGCTACTTGATGCAAAGCCCCGGAATTATCAATCATATGGATGGTCTTCCTTACTCGCCGGACTTGACGTTATCAAAAAAGGTTCTCGGTTTAACATAGGCGATGGAAAAACTGTTCGCATTGGCATTGATAACATTGATCATTCCCATCCTCCACGGCCAATACAGGCGACCTCTCCCGATTTTCAAGGTACAGTAAGCTCTCTTATCTCAAAGAGAGGATCTTATCGTTTTTGGGATAATCATAAAATCTCACAAATAATTGATCCTTGTGATCAACATATCCTTGACAAAATTTATCTCCCAAAAACTGAAACTAAGGATAAATTGATTTGGCACTATAATGCTACTGGTGAATACACGGTCCGATCCGGCTACTGGTTACTCACCCATGACCCGTCTGATACTCGTCAAAAACCACCAATCCCTCCGGGATCGCCTGACTTGAAGAGCAAAATATGGAAACTCCATATAATGCCCAAAATAAAACATATGCTTTGGAGATCGATTTCACGTGCTTTACCAACTTGTTCACGACTGGTTACTCGCGGAATGCAGATTGGATCTGCTTGTCTTCGCTGCCAAAATGAGGACGAAACTATAAATCATGTACTATTTGGTTGTTCTTTCGCAAAAACGGCCTGGCATCTATCAAATATACCTATTTTACAGGCGCATCATTTTTCCTCTGATTTGGAAGAGAATTTTACTTATATCATCGATCTTTATCATAACCAAACTCTCACAACCAATCAAAAATTATTCCCTTTCTGGCTCCTTTGGAAAATATGGAAGGCACGGAATAAACTAGTCTTCAACAAATATGCTGAAAGTCCGACACGTATCGTTCAACAAGTCCAAACAGAGATTCAAGAATGGATTACTAATTTGGGAGAGAAGCAACTACCGAATAACATCACAAAAAACCAGAACTCTATGGCGCCTACTTGGACAAGGCCACATCCGTCGATGGCCAAATGTAATTTTGATGCAGGTTTTGACGCAAGATCTTCACATGGTACCGGAGGCTGGATTATACGAGATTTCCATGGGGATCCAAAAGCTTGGGGCGCTTCTAAACTTCCGAATTCATCAACTCCTTTGGAGGCTGAAGCGAAAGCGCTATTGATGGCGATGCAACAAACTTGGATAAGGGGGCTTAAGTGCGTCCAATTTGAAGGTGACTGTGAGATTCTTCTCAACATGGTCAATGGGAACTCCCACCACTGTGACTTGGTTAATCTACTTCAAGACATTGATTATTGGGCAACTAAATTTTCCTCTGTAATTTTTACATTTACTAAACGCTCAGGAAATTGTATAGCTCATAATTTAGCATGTCTTAATTCTTTCACTGGAGAGTTCTATTCAAGCTCTGTTCACAAGCCGATGTGGCTAAAACGTTTGCTTTGTAAAGAATCTATTATCTGAATAAATTAATGTTTGTTGTAAAAAAAAAAAAAAATGATCCGATTTTTAATGAATTGTTATAATTTCTTAAATTAAATTTTGGTTTCAGTAAATGGAAAAAAAAATTCCAATTAAAGTTGAATTTAGTTACCAATATTTGACAGAATAAAATTTTAATTCAAAGAATTTAAGAAATCTGTATTGTGTTCAAAATATAGGTTCCGTTTAGATCGGTTTCTACGACCATCATATGATTGCTAGACCATTCCAGGATAATGAGAATCAGTCAATCTGATACACAAAGTCAGGATATCTCGCAAGCAAATCAACTCAAAACTCGTGGACTTCTTTATTCGTGTCATACCGGGAAATCTTTTTCTTTTTTTTGATAAGATTTGGAACGTGAGGAAAACCATATAGCCGGCAGTTTTTAAGTATAAAAAATATTTTCGTAATAAGCGACCTAAAAATGATATAAATAGAAGGGACTATATAATATACTGTTGAGGAAGATCTGGATCTCGTTACCTACCGGCTACCGAGACCATTTTAACACCGTTGATCATTTTAAATTTGAAAAACTCGAAAGGTCAATTGATAATGTGGCAAAACCGGAGGCAACACAAACGATGACTCATCAGGCTCATCTCTGTGGCCAAATAATTTGACCAATATAATAGCCCGACAGCTAAGAGAGTCACAGATTTGCCAGTAATAATCGGACCAATCAAATTTAAATAATCAATTATTGTTGAAGTTTTGTTGGTTGATAGGCAAAACATATGCTGTATATATAAATGTGTAGAGCAAGTTGAATCAAGCAGATCGATCAAAAAAGCAACAAACACTCAAAACACATTTCTAGAACACAATCAAAACAAAAACATATTATAAGAAAAAATGTCGAATATGATCGTCAAGAATCAACTAAGATCTATAAGCTTACCTTCAAGATCGCATCCAAGCACGACCGGGATCGAGAAAGCTCTTAACAAGGTTAATTCGATTAACACCACGACTGGTTCGTCCGAATCAGTCTTGATGGGCTTGGCGGGTTTGGAGGAGCTCTACAATTGTACGGAGGAGTTTCTGAAAATGGGCTCAACGCAACGGGTTTTGTCGTCGGATGGATCCGAGTTCATGGAGGAAATGCTTGACGGTTCGTTGAGGCTAATGGATATATGCAGCGTTTCGAGGGATCTCATGGTGGAGACTCACGAGCATGTTCGTGGTGTTCAATCATGTCTCAGGAGAAAGAAATTAGCCGGAGGAGGAGACCAACTCGATGTCGTCGTCTCGGGGTATGTCGGATTTAGAAAGAACATGAGAAAAGAAGCTAAGAAGCTTCTTGGATCCTTGAAGAACATTGATGGAGGACTAACTTCATCATCATCGGTAAATAACGTTCAGCAAGAAGAACATCTTGTGGCGGTTATAAATGTCATGAGACAAGTAGTTTCCGTTAGCGTCTCGGTGTTGATGTCGTTTTTGGAGTTCTTGTTGGGAAGAAGACAAAGTAACATTAAGAGCAAGCTGGCTTCGGTACTAAAGAAAAAGAAGGTCCATCATGTTGAGGAGACCAAGAACGAGTTGGAGAGTTTGGATTCCGCGATATGCTGTTCTTGTGATGATCTTCAAAAGAAGCTTGAGGAGGTTGAGATGAGCATCGATGGGTTCGAGAAGAATCTAGAAGGGTTATTTCGAAGGTTGATAAGAACACGAGCCTCGCTTCTCAACATAATATCACATTAGATTTTAAATTATTCATGTAATTTAATGTAACCATCAGAGGCAGTCGACTTTAGAGAATCTGCCGGAAGGTTACATTATAGACGCATGGATAAGATTTCGTACACTAATCAAACATAAATATATATATAGAGATTAGTTTGTAAAAATAGATACATTGATATATACAAGCCAGACTTTAATATAAGAACAAATCAAAGTGTAAAATACATATAGCCTACTTATATATTTACAATCAAAAACTTATAGAAATGAAAAAAATGTAGACTCTAAAACCAAAAAAATCATGATATTATTAAGAAGATGTGAGAATTCGGTCCTTGGGCCACATGTGTGCCGGTTTAGCTGATTTCCGGTTCATACCAAATGAAAAAACCAAGTTATATGGTTTAACACACGTGACTATCTTTCGCTATCGGTGTTTTAAATTAAGTTCTGGTAGGGGCAATTTCGTAAAATGAGATTTTAAATGGATCCGACGGACGCAACCTTCTGAAGAAAAGGCGCGAGAGAGAGAGATCTAAACGAACACGTTAGACACAGAGAAAAAAATAACGGTCATAACCGCCGTGTGATCAGAGAAACTATATAAAGACCACTTCGATGCACACTGAAAACGTGTTACTCTCTATCTCTGTAAAGAAAAAATTATGAGTAATCCCGAGAAGTCTAAAGTTACCGAGGAAGACATTATTGAGAATTCTGACGAGAGTGACTATCTTTGGAGCGATGAAGAAGGGGATATCCGTGAAATTGTTCTTGCCCTTCCTGCACTGAGACTCAGTGAGAGTCTCCATGTGGACGAAAACGTCTATAACGAAGCCGTTGCCGCGGCGAATTTGATTGTGGCAGCCGTCAAAGAAGCGGCGGGGAAGGCAGATCAAACTGCAAGTGGTACTGGTAACGTTAGTGGGTCTCCCAAAAGTAAAAAAATTGGTAGGCCACGTGTCTTATTGGAAGCTGAAGCCGCAGCGTCTGGTTCTACCGCCATTGGGACGACAAGTACTGAAAGAGAGGTAGTGAAGAAACCCCGTAGGAAAGGTTCTACTCAATTGACTCATCTGCCTTAAGGCCCTCCTATGTGTAATGTTTGTGGGAAGGGCTTTGCTTCTTGGAAGGCTGTCTTTGGACATTTAAGGCAGCATAAAGATCGTGGTTATCTAGGTTTTCTTCCTCCGCCAACATTCAATGCGGCTGAGGAAGGGTTTGGTGGAGTCGTTACTGTTTCTTCCGCTGTTGGAGTCGCCACTGCTTCCGCTGGTGGGGGAGTCGCTACAGCTTCTGCCGCTGGTGGAGTCGTTACAGCTTCTTCCGTTGGTGGAGTCCCTACTGCTTCTTCCGCTGGTGGAGAGTTCGGTACAGGCACCGGAGCAGGGTGGATCGATTTGAACAAAGATCCCATCGAGGAGGAAGACAAGTCAACTGGATCTAAACGAAAATTTGATCTTAATAGGTCTCCTCCACCAGACGATGAAGAAGAGAAGGACGAAAAAGCCGAGTGAAGGCTTTGAATGATTCTAAACATTTCATTCTTATTTCCGTTTTCTTTATTTGATGGATTCTTGTTTAATTTTCTTCGGTTTGTCACATTTAAGTACCCAATGATATTTTTACTTAAAATTCGATGTAGTGTGGCAAGAGGATAAAATTTTCTAATTGCAATAATTCTGAAAACAAATAAAATGCGCCACTATTGATACGATAAAACATTTTGTAAGCCTAAATCCTTGCCTGTGAAAATGGGATAAATAAATCTATGCAATCTTATGTTTGTATATCTATTATTCTTTATTTCTATTTATAATAAGAATATGTAAAAAGTTTCACTTTTGTCGAAAATATATCAAGTAGAAATAAAAAGGAAAAAATAATTCAATCAGAAAAACACAATTGGTTTATTACTATACATCATCGCAAAAGTGTATACAGTAAACAAATTAATAACATAATTTACTAAGTTTGCAAATTATAAATTAGCAACCATGCAAAATGACAGAACATATAATTAACGTTGACTATAGGAAAATTAGTTATGATCTACTGTCCACATTTACTATGCCCAAGAAGAGGAATTATTGCAATTACAAATAATGATTGGTAATAAATGGAAATGTCATTTGACCAATAGAAATGTAAATGTTCAAAAGTCGACTCCACGATCATCAAATCAAATCATCAGTGACAACTGACAAGCAAATCTAATCGAAATCCGTGCCCCTCTTCCACGTGTCGTAACGCGAGACGTCATGCAGAAGGCAATGTTATAGTTTTTGTTTTTCGGAAGAATATCTCTTTTTATTCCTGAGGAACCGTAGCAAACTACATACTATGGTAGGAGGAAGATCTGGATCTCATAACCTACCAAAACGACTTCATGAACGTGAAAGGTCAATTGATAATGTGGCGAATCCGTAGGCAACAGAGACTATGACTCATCAAGCTTTCTCTTCGTGGCCAAATAATTTGACCAATATAATAATCTGACAGCTCAGAGAGCCACAGATTTGTCAGTAATAATCGGACCAATGAAATTTAAAACATCAATTATTGTTGAAGTTTTGTTGCTTGATGACGTTTCAAAACCCATATGCTATATATATAAGCATGTGTAGGGCAAGTTGAATAAAGAAGATCGATCAAAGAAGAAAGAACAAAAACCCTCAAAACACCTTATAACAAAAAACACAAAAGATGGCGAATATGATTATTAAGAAACAATTAAGATCTATAAGTTTACCTTCTAGGTCGCATCCAAGCACGAGTGGGCTCGAAGATGCTCTTAATAAGATTAAAACAATCACCACAGGTTCATCCGAGTCGATCTTGATGGGCTTAGCTGGTTTGGAGGAGCTCTACAATTGTACGGAGGAGTTTCTGAAAATGGGTTCAACGCAACAGGTTATGTCCTCTGGTGGGTCGGAGTTCATGGAGGAAATGCTTGATGGTTCGTTGAGGCTGATGGATATATGCAGCGTCTCAAGGGATCTAATGGTGGATACTCACGAGCATGTTCGTGGTGTTCAGTCATGTGTTCGAAGAAAGAAAGTAGCCGGAGGAGGAGGAGATAAACTCGATGTCGCTGTCTCGAGCTATGTCGGATTAAGGAAGAACATGAGAAAAGAAGCTAAGAAGCTTCTAGGATCCTTGAAGAAAATCAATGGAGGGACTCGTTCTTGTGATAATGATCATGGAGATGAACATCTTGTGGCGGTTATAGATGCGATGAGAGGAGTGGTATCCGTAAGTGTCGTCGTATTGAAGTCGTTCTTGGAATTCTTGTCCAGACCAAAAAGTAACATAAAGAGCAAGTTGGCTTCGGTGCTAAAGAAGAAGAAGGAGGATAATCATGAGGCAACCAAGAACGAGTTGGAGACATTAGATTCCGCGATTTGCGGAAATATTTCCTCTCTCGATGATCTACAAAAGGAGCTTGAGGAGGTTGAGATGAGCATTAGTGGGTTCGAGAGAAATCTAGAAGGGTTGTTTCGAAGGTTGATAAGAACACGAGCCTCGGTTCTCAACATAATCTCTCATTAGGAAGAAGTTAATATGTGCAATGTAACCTTCGTGAGCATTCGATTTTAGAGAATTTGCCGGAGGAATGCATATTATATAGAAGCATATATATAAAAGATTTTGTACACTAATTACTAAACTGATATATGTAGAGAAAATGTGTAAAATAGATTCACCATTGCAGTGATATACCCATAAATGTTATGAAACCATCTAAGACTCATAATTTAAAATGACATAATTAGTTAGAAAGTTTCATAAACTCGAACGGATGTATTGAAACTCATACATTGATTTCTTGATTTATTATGTAAAAGGAGATCGAGGAGAGTTGACTTCTCAGTGTAAACTCACTGACCTAGAACGTGTATACAATTATCGCTGCTGAATTTTATGCATGCTAGTATTATAATATCAAGCATGAATGTCAAACATGCTGATATTAGTAGCTAATCATATGAAGATGGATGTAAAAGTAAATATTTATTAAAATTGTAGGTTCGAAATCTGATGTACTGAAATTTATATGAAATAACGGACATATTAAGCAACTTAGCTTATTTTAAACAAAAACGTAAATAGTTCTGTTATATTTTCTTTTCCATTTGTGAAGAAATGTCACTTACAGTATAAGATGGATTTAAAATAAGATTTAGAAAAATAGCCAAATATATTTTTATTTCAGTTGGTTTAATTAAGAAGCTCATTCTTTCACACATACCAATCATAGTTGTATGAATTTTTTTTTACTTGTTAATAATGCATCTCCATTGTTATTATTTGTATCTTTTTCATATTAGGTTGGGCCGAATTTGCAATAGACACGAACCCAGTTATATGGTCCAATACCAAACATACATGTACCCAGTTAAAATTGAAAAACCACTAACCATTCAAAAATCACGTAATAACCAACAACATCTGAAACCGTCTTAACCCAACCCCCTCATCCAATTGCACTATTAATCTCTATACCGAGATTTTACGAAAAGCCTTAATAACGGCTTCACTTTCGAATATCTTTACCGTAGGTATATTTCCATCATATTGTCGGTATAGATATTTCCATCAAAATAAGTCATAGATTTCAAATTAATAAATAAATAATTATAAATTTTTAATTAGTCACTTCCACAAATTTACATTTTGAAACTGGTAAAAAAAGTCACTCATTTTCTTTTGTCAACCATTGTATCAAAAGTACCTTTACTTTTGGTCTCGATTGACACTTTATTTTCAACGATCCGTATATATTAATCCTTAAAGCGAAAAGATCCCAAACACAAACCAAAAGGTGATCTAAACCTGATAAATGGAAAATCTGATGGTCACTCCTAAATTCATGGTAACATAATTGCTGACGTGTGACGGTGTTATTCAAGGGAGGCATCGATCGTCTCTTACGCGGGACCACATCATCCGTGCATACATATATATCTGATATTTTTTACATAAACAATGTAACAAAATCTTCCAAAGATCTTGATATTAAATTCAATCGAGGTACCCACCAAAAAAAAATTGAGCATTGTATTTGTAACCTTCAAAAGAAACAAAATCCAACGAGACTAAAAATAATTAAATATTAAAGAATTGTAAATGGACGGTGGCTTTGGTGCATGAAAAGAGGTGTGAAAAAGGTTTCGGTTATAGTAACCGAAACTGAAACATCGAACTTCGACAACGATTTAAATCAATAATCAAACGACATAGCATTTATTGAGCCTTACGTGTTCTGTTCTTCCTTAGTGAAGTACCCACACTCACTTCACATGGTCTTCACGTCTTAGCTAAGCTAGGCCCTACTCATTGACATTTATGTCATTGTGTATTTATATAAACCCTAGAGTAAAAGGACCGAACAAAGCATAACTCGAGTAACCCATTTTCATTATCATTTCTTGAGATGTATATGTCTTCATTGTCTCCGAGACTCCACAAAGCATACAAAGCTAGATGTGTTAGCTTACCGGTTCGGTCTCATCCGAGTGTTAGGAGGATTCAAGAAGTGGTCTCCAAGGTTAGAGCTTTGGGGTCTTCTTCGTTAGACTCGAGGACGATGGTCCGTGATGGTCTCTCTGGTCTCACCGAGCTTTACAGATGTTTAAGTGAAGATCTCTTCAAGTCTTCTTCTGAAACTCAACAAGCTCTTCTTAACGGTGACGGCTTGATGGAAGAGCTTCTTGAAGTATCACTGAAATACTTAGAGGTTTGTGGAGGAGCTAAGGACGCAGCGTCGAGGATCAAGAAGATTGTTGTCGAACTTCAGTCTGCTTTGAGAAGGAGCAAGAAAGGAGGTGAGTTTAGCCTCGAGAGTGACGTTGATGCTTATGTGGCGTCTAGGAAAGATATCAAGCAGGAGATCAAGAAGTATATGGTAATGTCGAAAGAGACAGATGCGTCTTTGGAGAGTGTTTGGTGTGATGGTGATGATCAAGAGATGAGTGCTTTGGTCAGAGTGATGCAAGAGACGAGTGTAATGACTTGTTTCGTCTTACGCTCGGTCTTCTCTTTCTTGTCTTCGCCTAAAGGGTTAAAGACTAAGAATCATCACCACCACAAAGGTTGGGGGATTGTTATGAAGCTTGTGAAGAAAGGAATGGATCATCATCACCAGGAGAAAAGAGATCATGAGATGGGATTTTCTTGTCTCGTGCTTGAAGCTATGGAATCTGAGCTTGGGAAGCTTGTTGTGATGACGACGAGAGAAGATCAAGAAGAGGAGAAAAAGATTAGTGAAGAAGTATCTGAGAAGGTTCAATGTACATTGGTTAGATCCGAAGGTGTAGAGGCAGCCATGGAAGAGCTTGAAGAGGGACTTGAAGGATTGTTCAAGGTAATGATACAAGCTAGAGTCTCTCTTCTTAACATCCTCTCCACTTAATTCAAAATGGATCAGATTCGAATTTCTTGGTCTGGATTTGGAAAGAAATTAGTTGCTCTTGACCAAGTCGATCGATTGGTTTTAAAATCTTGGTTTGGTTTTTTTTTGTTTGTTCTTGTATGTTGTGAGAGAGAGTTTAAACATGCGTCCATGTTTTAGAGGATGTGTGTTTGTTGTAAGTGTGTACCTCGTTCAGGTGTGAACAACTCTTGTAAAGTTTTATGTACTTATAAATATCTATTATTTTACCACATAGAACGATAAATTTAAAGAGAGAGACGAATGCAAAAGCATAACTTTAATGTTTAGAATAGGGTAATTACTAATTACTGATTAGTACTCCCTCTGTCCCATTTTATTAGATGTTTGGACTAAAATCACAAAGATTAAGAAACAATAAATGTTTTCTCATTTATAAAATTTCAACCAATAGAAGAAGATACTGCATAATTAAAATAATTAAAATTTATTAAACTAATATAAATCATGCATTGAAAGTAGAAAAAATCTTATATAATGGAACAAATGAAAATGCCTTAAACATCTTATATATTGGGACAGAGGGAGTATTAGTTTTCGTAAAAAAAGCAATTTAGCTATAGCATAACGTTGAAGTAAATAATTAATCAAATGTCACAATCTTCTCAAAATGAAAAACCAAAAAGAAACGGGCTAATATTAAAGAGGCAAAAGTCGTCATATTAAAATGTCATCCAAAATTAACATATATTAAAAAAACAAAATCATCCATTGATTACGAAAATGTCATGATTATTGTTGGTAGACTTTGACATACCTTCTTAGAATTGACAGGAATATTTTTGTCATAAAATAATTTCTTATGTTAAATGAACCAACTTAACATTTTATTTTCTCATTTTTCTTGAAAATTAGTCGATAAATCTTTCACTTTCTTTTGGAACAATAAACTATTGAAAATGGAATTCAGTGGCTAAAAACCGGGAGTGGCGGTATTTCCAAGAATTTATTTTCCTAGCTTGATTCACACAATTCTTACTTAAGTAGGAAACCATATTAAACACTAGTAGTACATTTTATTTAGTTGCGACTACAATTTATGTTTTTAGACCTTGAGGACAAACGCAATAACAGCCTGTACCAAAACATAATTCTTTGCATGGTGGCTTACAAAAACCAAACCCATTTTGCTTAACCAATAGTGAAGCTTCAGGATGGAGAGAAGTTTCTTCAGGTAAGAGACGTTTCGGCTCAGCAATCTGAACTGTCACGAATATCATCACTACAACACATAAGTGTAATAAACATTAGTAACACAATACAATTTCTTATACCCATATTATAGTACAAAAACATTAAAATTTACCAGTAAAAGCTAAAAGGATGATGAAAGCAGACTTAGACGAAAATTTTCCCATTATCATAGAAAGATTGTGTTTTTTCTCAATAACCTTGTGGACTTAGAAAGAGTTGGTGAAGAAAACGATGTGACATAGAAATGTTGTATAACGTTTTTATAGAATAGAGAAAGTGTGCTTATTAAGGAAAATTAATATCAAAATTTTGATTTGTGGTGAAAATTAAAACTATATCGAGAATGAGATAAGATAAGATAAGATCAAATCTCTTAATATGGTCGATAATCAATTCGACAATTGTTACCTCAGATTTCTATTAATTAAAGATGAGAAGATCTTCAAAATATTGACTATTGATAAAAGTAAAAAAAAAAGGTTTGACTCAAAATAAGCCCATTACCAAAACCCAAACAAGCCCATTATGTAATCAAGCCACGGTGCTTAGGATGCTCGTTGGGGTTTGGCAACGTGTCTAAGATACAACGGCTATATTTTGACATGGTCCAAGTCCAGCTATCATCATCATAAGTCGGTGTGTTCTTGTGGGACCTCTAAACGAGCGTTACTTTCCTAATTTCAGCGGACCGTTACATACACACTCACACACACTAGCCTTCTTCTTCTCCATCTTCATCTCGTGCTTCTGTGTCAGAGACCAAGAAAATGACGGCGGCCGAAGTAGCTTCTGCGCAGACCAAGAAGCTCATGAAGTTCAGTCTTTCTCTCTTCCGTCGTGGCTTTAACTCCTCTAAATGGTACTCAATTTCATCGATTGATGCTTCTTAGATTCCTAAATTCACTCAATCTGATTCACTGCGAATAAAAATCTGGTCTTGAATGTTTTTTTCCGTGTTTGATTTGGGGAAGTTGTAAAAAGTTAGTATTTTTTAGTCTGTTGATGCTTTTTATCTCGAGAATCGATCTGGGTATTCTCAGTGTTTTTAATTCAATAGAGAAAAACAAGAATTTTGATCTGCGTTTGAGAGATTTCCGATCTGGGCTTTACTAAGATCAAGCATCTGATCAAAGTCTGTTTTTTTATCGGCAAAAAGCAAAACGGCGGCGAAGATGGCTGTGGCTCGGATAAAGCTTCTAAGGAACAAGAGATTAGTTGTGGTGAAGCAAATGAGGCGTGACATCGCTGTTCTTCTTCAATCCGGTCAAGATGCCACTGCTCGAATCAGAGTATTTCACTTTCCTGCTTCACTTTTTAGAGTTTTTTTCCCTGCAATTTTCAATTCACTGAAGATTTTGCTTTTTGACATATTTCAGGTTGAGCATGTGATAAGGGAACAGAACATTCAGGCAGCAAACGAAATCATTGAGCTTTTCTGTGAACTTATTGTTGCTCGTCTCACTATCATCACTAAGCAAAAGTATGTTCATATCTACTATCAGTTTTCATTTGTCTCTTTACTTTGCTTCAATTTTGGTTCTTATATATGTATGTGTTTGGCTTTCTTTTAGGCAATGTCCTGTGGATCTTAAGGAAGGTATTGCTAGTTTGATTTTTGCTGCGCCTAGATGCTCTGAGATTCCTGAGCTTGGAGATCTTCGAGACATCTTTGAGAAGAAATATGGGAAAGATTTTGTATCTGCTGCTACTGATTTACGTCCTAGCTGCGGCGTAAACCGAATGGTAACTAAATCATTCATGTTTCTGATTAGTTTAACTCGAGCCGTGATTCGTTTTTAGATGTAAGATGAAATCTTGAACTTGTTTTCTTCTTTCTTGTGCGTTTGTAGTTGATTGATAAGCTTTCGGTTAGAAATCCCGGTGGAGAATACAAACTCAAAATCATGAAGGAAATTGCAAAGGAATTCCAGGTTGATTGGGATACTACAGAGACAGAGCAAGAACTTCTCAAACCTCTAGAAGAAAGCATAGTATGCCTCCTAATCTCCCCTCTCAACTTCCCCTTCCATTATTCAAAATCAGAATCTTAAAAGTTTTGTTCTTCTTGTGTGAACAGGACGGGCCTCGTAAGTTTGTTAGCGCTTCAAGCTTACCAGTTAATCGTGCAGCTATCAACGAGCCTACTGATTCTACCAAAGCAGTGCCGAGGTATTTATACATTCCAGTCTTTTGCTTCAACAATTTCCAAATAAGGGATCAGAAACAATGAAGTCTTTTTATTGTTTTGCTCATCAGATCGAGTAGTAGCACGCGCATCAACACGCATTATCATGACACCGAGTCAGCAGCGGAAGCAGCTACTGAATTAGCCAAACAGGCAGTTGCAGCAGCACAAGTAGCCTCCTTATTGGCTACCAGAAGAGACAGCACCAACGAGTTCTCTGTATCTTCCGATCGTTCAACAAATCAGAAGGATTCACAGTACATGGACCATCATCATTCTCCAGGTTCAAGGAGACAATCACGAGACTCCGAAACAAGTTCTTATTACGCAAAACCTAGTGCAGAAAACAGGGGAATGGGTAGAAGACATAGCTACAACAATCCGGGTATTAATGAATCTCACTACGAGGAAGACTACACCAAGACCGAAGCAGAAGCCAAGGAAACAATGAGGAGGAGACACAGCTACAACTCTCGATCAGTTCCTCCTCCTGCCACTTCTGAGATCAAGTTTGATGAGTCAGACTACTACGAGGAAGAGACAGAGCCAGAAGAACCATCACATGGTCGTGTTTCTTCTCTCCCGCCAAACCGAGAACCTCCTCAGGCTCCTCAGTCCGGTGAGTCCAGACGGGACTCAAGCGGTCACCATGTTCACCCAAAACTGCCTGACTATGACATTTTGGCTGCACGTTTTGAAGCAATCAGACAGAGTAAAGGGCCATTGATCTGAAGCCAATAACTTCCACTACTGCTATATATAGAAAGAAATCACGTACGGGATAATGCAATTATCATGTTTAGTTTTGTGTATGAAGAAGAAGAAAGATGCATTTTTTGTTTACTTACTATATAACGGTTCAGTTTTGTTGTGATCTTTTCTGAAACTATAGTTAAACCGGTCTAGGAAATCTGAATTGGAAACTGGCTTTTCAGAAATCCAAAGTACAGATTCCATGAAAAACTGTATATGGAATCAGTTATTTATTAATCTTTGTAGATTAAAATGCTTATCTAATTTAATGGTGCTGCAAGAGTGGAGAAGAAAGTAGAATTTGGACAAAAATTAGAAACCAAGATGAAGATTTCATGGACATTATACTTCACAGGGGACAACTCTATGCCTTAGATTTAATTGGTGCAATTTGGTGGATTGGTTTATCACAGCTGCTAATTGAATTCACACCTTCAACTCCAATGGACTACTACGAATATGATAGTTGCAAAGACAAGAGACTCGTGGAGTATTGTGGAGATCTATGCATTATTCATCAACTTCCCGCAAAGGAAGCTTATATCGAGAGAACCGTTGGTTTAAAGGTTTATAAGATGGAAGAGGATTTGGCAAAGTGGGTCGAGCTTAGCTCCTTGGAAGACAAGGCACTCATTGTGGCAAAATCTTTTATTTGATTTAATGTCATATATAATATATTAACCAAAAAATTGGCCGAACATAGTATAAAATTGACTTTTCTTAAGAAGGAAAATAAATTATAAACTTCAAAAAGTGCATCTTAACATTAAATAAATTTTTCACTTCTTGACACTTTTTTGGTCTAGATATAAATTTGGACTAAACAATAAATAAAAATTTCCACCAATAAACTAATATTAGTCAAGTCAAGAAGTGAAAATTAATTGTAATAGGGAATCAATATAAAAGTAAACAAAACTCTCCTATATAAAAGGTAATAATATATTATTGTTGACCAAGATAAAGGTAAGTTCCTACATTTTCTACAAGAGATTGATTTTCTATGTAAGATTTAGACTATAAATATATACATACCTTATTTCGATTTGTCCATAGATTTTTCAGATTAATTATTTGAATCTTAGGGTTTCAACAAACAAAGAGAGATGAGTGAAATGATCGTGTGGTCTGATTTACCCGGAGACCTCCTCGATCATATAGCCAATGGTCTCTTCTCCAAAGTCGAGCTTCTCCGGTTCCGTAGCATCTGCAAAACCTGCCGTTCTGCGGTTGCGACCAACAAAAGTTTTCTCGACCACCTCAAACGCAACCGTAGACGCCTTCTCTCTCCTTACAGTACTGGTAAAACGTGTTCACTTTCTCCCGCAGCTTTCTATCGTGTGGTTCTCTCGTCATATCCGGACAAAGGATGGCTTATCAAAATTCAAGATGTCTATGTCTCCTCTCAAAAGCAACTCCTTTCTCCTCTCTCTCGTTTCTCGATCAAATCTTCCGGCCAGACCCTAGATCTCTTGGACTTCACGGTTACAGAGATGCATCAATCTTACGACGTGGAATACTTATATAATTCGACAAGAACATCGTTTAATTTCGCTAGGGTTGTTCTATTAGAAGACTTGGTTTTCGTAGTTGATTACGACAAGAAAATCTGGTGGTGCAATAGTAACGAAAGTGATAATCATTGGGCAAGAGTCATGGATGAAGAAGTTAAACTTTTCTCGGATATTGTATTTCACAAAGGTTATATGTATGCCTTAGACTTAAAAGGCGCAGTTTGGTGGATTAGTTTATCTGAGTTTGAAATATTTCAATACGGACCTTCAACTCCACTGGACTACTATGACATTGATACTTGCAAAGACAAGAGGTTTGTGGAGTATTGCGGAGATCTATGCATTGTTCATCGATTTTGTAGGAAATTTCGCCTAAAGCGAGTTGATATCGATATAACCGTTGGTTTTAAGGTTTATAAGATGGACGAGGAATTGGTTGAATATGTTGAGGTTAAGTCTTTGGGAGATACGGCTTTTGTGATGGCTACAGATAGTTGCTTCTCTGTCTTGGCTAGAGAGTATTATGGATGTTTGGAGAATTCGATCTATTTTACTGACGAGGAAGAGCGAAACAATGTTAAAGTGTTCAAGCTTAGTGATGGTAGTATCACTAAGATGGTTGATTCTTCTTTTCAGAGTTGTTTTCAGATGCTTATTCCTCCTTTAGTTTGATCATGTTTTTTTCATGAATTTTGAATCTTTTTCTTTTCTCTTGTGTCCATTAGAGTAAAAATTGTATTCAAGGTTTTAAATTTGCTTGCTACTTTTTTTTTTCTTTCATATTTTATGAATTTGTTTGTTAGTTACTTTAATTTGAGTAACTGAAATTGCAAAAAGAACAAGTGAAATTTGCGTACTCTTTGAGACTTCTTTAGAGTTTACTTTGGGGGCATCGATTAGAGAACCTTCAGGTTCTGGACGAGTAAACGATGCAGTATGTGCCATGCGCAATTTGTATTGTGACAAAAAAACTCATTTATTATTGACCGGTTAAATAAATTATGGTTAGGTTGAAATTATTTGGTTTGGTTATTGTCAAACGGCGTCGTTTGCTGTTTTCCCAATTCTTCTTCACTTTCCGCGGCGTCTTGAGGAAGCGTCGACAAATTCTTTGAAATTTCCCCAGAATCGATGAAACCATCACAAGCACTCAAAATATCGTCTCTACGAATTTGTTAGTTTCCTCGAGGCGTTAAAGAGGTGAATATAGATATGAAGAAATCGCCGTTGCCGGTGCAGAATGTGCACAGCTCCGATAAGAACGTTGCCGGAAAAGAAGCATTGGTGAAGCTTTTGAGATGGCATTTCGGTCACGCAGATTTCAGAGGGAAGCAATTGGAGGCTATTCAAGCTGTTGTCTCTGGTAAAGTGATAACACATACGAGTTTTTCTCTTTTACTCCGGAGAATATTGGAATATGATTGTTTTTGAATTCTCTTCGCTTCTGTATGTGATTTGATGAGATTAGGAAGGGATTGCTTTTGCTTGATGCCGACGGGAGGAGGAAAATCGATTTGTTATCAGATACCTGCATTAGCTAAACCTGGAATCGTCCTTGTTGTGTCTCCTTTGATTGGTAATCTGTTTTTTTTTCCTTCCTGATTCACTAATGGAGAATCTCTGTTTTGAGTGGTATCTCTAACGATGTGCTTTGTTTCCACCATCATGCTCTCGTGTTTTTTAACTTCTCAGCTTTGATGGTAAGTGCCATTGTTCTTTTCTTTTTGTGTTCTTCTCTTTTAAGTTTTTAAGTTAAATGGGTTTTGAAGAAACGTTTTTTTGTTTCTACTTAGGAAAATCAAGTAATGGCGCTGAAGGAGAAAGGTATTGCTGCTGAGTATCTCTCATTTACCCAAGCTACACATGTTAAGAACAAGGTGATTTGACTATAGTGTGTTTCTTGGTCTGTGTGACTATATATGGGACCTGACTCTATGCTTTGTCTATTAACTGACCTCTTTCACCAATGCCCTTTCTTAAAATTCTACATTATGCCATGTGCTTTGCTTTAACATTGATTAAATCACTTGGATGATTGTTTCACTTAAGTGTTTTATGTGATTATTCGATGAGCCCAGTTATCAATTATATTGTTTAATCTCCCTGGATGTGATTCTTGACTTTGATTTTAGATCCATGAAGACCTGGATTCTGGAAAACCCTCTGTAAGATTGCTGTATGTTACTCCAGAATTGATCGCAACTAAAGGATTTATGTTGAAGCTGAGAAAACTCCATTCCAGAGGTTTGCTAAATCTTATAGCTATAGACGAGGTAAGGCCTTGTAATGCCTATACTAGAGTAACCAGGAAAGCTTAAGGTGTTTAACGTGAATGTTGGCTTTAATTTTCTTGAGTGTTTATTTGATATTTCAGGCACATTGCATCTCATCATGGGGCCACGACTTCAGGTTCATAATTGGTGATTGTGTCAGTATTCTTGTCCATGGGCGCTTACTAAAGTCTAACTTGTTTTGTCACATTACAGACCTAGTTATCGTCAACTTTCAACCTTGAGAGATTCTTTGGCAGATGTTCCAGTGTTGGCTCTAACTGCTACTGCTGCTCCCAAGTGATTTTCTATTTCAGTGCATTAAGAAAAACGTGTGTAAAATTGTAGATCTTTTTATCAACAGCAATTCTTTGCAGGGTACAAAAGGATGTTATCGACTCATTGAATTTGCGGAATCCTTTGGTCCTCAAGTCTTCTTTCAATCGCCCAAATATCTTCTATGAAGGTTTCCCTTTGAGCTATTAGTTTGTGTTATGATATTTTCTCTCTGTAAACTGTTATGAGGTGTTCCAAATATTGTTCTGTTTGAGATTCTTTCATTACTGTTTGATTTCTTTCCTATCATCTAAATAAGTTTTTGTTGGTGCAGTTCGTTACAAAGATCTTTTGGATAATGCTTATACTGATTTGGGCAACTTGCTCAAGTCATGTGGAAATATTTGTGCGATTATCTACTGCCTTGAGCGTACAACCTGTGATGACTTGTCTGTTCATCTTTCCAGTATTGGGATCTCTTCTTCAGGTAAAAATCCATCTACCTCTATCTGCTTCAATATTGAGCCACAAGCGCTGACATTTACATCCATATATTTGCAGCCTATCATGCAGGACTCAATAGCAAACTAAGGAGTACTGTTTTAGATGATTGGCTGTCCTCGAAGAAGCAAATTATTGTTGCCACTGTGGCTTTCGGGTATGAATAACTCTGTGAATTACCTTGCATTTGGGTCCTGGATTTATTATGATCATCATCTTTACGTCTTATTATGTTTGGGAGCTCGTTGGGGCACATGGTAGACTTCTAACGGTTTTCCTACAGAATGGTAAACGAAGATTCTTTCTCATGTTGCATCTGTTTAATTTTTTACTTCTTATGTACTGTAGCATGATGAGACTACTGAATTTCTAGGGCATAGATAAGAAGGATGTCAGAATGGTTTGCCATTTTAACATTCCAAAATCAATGGAATCTTTCTATCAAGAGTCTGGTAGAGCAGGTCGGGATCAATTACCTTCAAGAAGTGTATTATACTACGGTGTAGATGACAGAAAGAAAATGGTAACGTTAATCTGGTTATGACAAGTCTTGGCTTCAAAACTTTCATTCTACTTGTAAGTTCTATAATAACTTAGTCTACCAACTCTTTGCTAGGAATATCTTCTGCGGAATTCGGAGAATAAGAAATCCCCATCCTCTAAGAAGCCTACATCTGACTTTGAACAGGTAAATGCTTTCTTGTTTCTTCTAGCCTCTGTGTATTTTAGTTTAAACTTATTTCTGCATGTATTTAGATTGTGACGTACTGCGAAGGTTCTGGATGCCGAAGAAAAAAGATTCTTGAGAGCTTTGGTGAAGAGGTGTGATTTGTATTTTACCGATTCATGTATCAAATCCCTTATTTTTCTATCAAAGTAAGTTGCTGATTTTCTTGTTGCAAACAGTTTCCTGTGCAGCACTGCAAAAAAACGTGTGATGCATGTAAGCATCCAAATCAAGTTGCTCATTGCTTGGAGGAGCTCATGACCACTGCCTCCCGAAGACACAATTCTTCTCGAATTTTCATCACCAGGTTTTGCTTTTAACCGCATCTAAATGTGCAGCGAGGTGTACAGAGTCTAACTGAACTCCATGCTCATTCTTTTGCAAGCTCGAACAATAAGACCAATGAGGGACAGTACTCTGAATTCTGGAATCGTAATGAAGATGGAAGCAATTCCGATGAGGAAATATCAGATTCAGATGGTAACTCACTTTACTGATTTTTACTTGCATGCATGTCCAATCTTTTTGAATAAACTTCTTGTAGCTTTAATCTCTAACTCACACGTTGAGTCATCTACACCCAGATGCCACTGAGGCTGCCAAGAGCCTAGCAGGACCTAAACTATCGAAAAAGTTGGGACTAGACGAGAAATTGGTTTTACTGGAGCAAGCTGAGGAAAAGTACTACGAAAGGAACAAACAGGTTTGGTAACAAATTCACTTTATCTTCTTTAGAAACAAAAAGTTAAAATCATTCTTCCAGTTTAACTTAGCAAAGCGTATTCGAACTGTTTGCAGGTCAAAAAGTCCGAGAAGAATGCAATATCTGAAGCACTAAGGGATTCGAGCAAGCAGAGACTCTTGGATGCGTTGACACGAGTACTTCAGCTGCTCGCCAGTGTAGAGGAGTAAAAATCTCTAACATCCTCATAAGTCTACTTTAGTTTACGAATGTTATGGGTCTCTCTCTTATATCATTGATTGGAACCCGAAATTAATATTTTGCAGGATTGATTCCCAGAAAGGATCTGAGTTTCTTGAAAATGAGTGCTATAGAAAATATAGCAAAGCAGGGAAATCGTTTTACTACTCGCAGATAGCGAGTACTGTGAGATGGCTAGGAACCGCAAGCAGAGATGAGCTAATGACCCGACTAAGCTCAGTGGTCAGTTTGGCTAGAGAACAAGAGCCATTAGAAGAGCCGTTGTTGGTGACTGAACCGGCGGAGAACATAGAGGAAGAAGATGATGGTAACACTAACAGGGTCGAGTCATGGGTTGATGAACCGACACAAGAGCTAGTGGTGAGTCCGATCCTTTCGCCTATAAGGCTTCCACAAGTTCCATCATTCTCAGAGTTTGTTAACCGGAGAAAAATGAAACAAAACACATCGATAGACAAATCTTCTGAAGGTTTTGATGACAAGAAACCGGCAAAGATAATGAAGCTTCAATAAAAAATGTAGCTATAAACCCCTCATGAAATTGTTCACTAGCCAAAAACGTTTTTTTTTTTCCAATTTCTTTTGTAGTTTAGCTTTAGCATTGGTCCATTTGTCTCTTAAAGTCGTAACATACACAATAATTAGTGTTCCACCTAGGCCTGGGCAAAATACCCGGAACCGAATACCCGAACCGAAAAACCCGAACAATACCCGAACCGAACCCGAACCCGATTTTTTAAAATACCCGAATGGGTCCTAACCTCCTACCCGAAAAAAACTCGAACCGAACCCGAACCGAATCCAATACCCGAATGTACCCGAATACAAATATACACCTAAAAATATTAGTTATATTTATATTTATAATATCCGAAATACCTAAAATTACAATCATAAATCCGAATATATTAGGTATTTTAGATATTTTTGGTTATATTTGGGTAAAGAGTAACCAATGTATTTTCGAGAAATCGGGTATTTCGGTTAGATTTGGGTATATATGAGTTAAAAACCCGAACCCGACCCGAACCCGAAAATATTTCGGGTATTTTTGGTTATTTTCGGGTATTTTGCTTTTTTTATTAAAATACCCGAACCGACCCCGAACCGACCCCGAACCCGAACCGAACCCGAATTTTTAGAATACCCGAATGGGTCTTGACCCCCTACCCGAATAGACCCGATACCCAAAAAAAAAGAACCGAACCCGAACGGGTACCCGAATGCCCATGCCTAGTTCCACCTGATTGAATAGACTTACTGAAGGTAAACCAGTTAAACCGATGTAAAAACCAAATTAATTTTTGTGTGAAAGTGGTTTAAATCCCAAACACTAAATTTTATATATTAAACCGACAAGTCACTCTAATTTGAAGGATAGAACTTGATATTTGCAGCTGTAAATTTAAAATAGCTATTTTTTTTCCTTTTATAATGTTCCCCTTAATCATCTTACAAAAGGACTTATTATTATATTCACATATGACAATTCCCATATACATTTTCCACACTAAACTCACAACCACCACCACTAAAAAAAAAACTACAAATCTTATGATTAAAAAAACTAATTAAGACAAAAAAAAAAGATTTAAGAAGAAATCTAAAGATTCTCCTCCTTTCCCTTATCCAAACGCCAACTGCTTTCTTTTCTTTTCCATAAAAAACGCTCACTTTTCAAAAAGCACACCTACTGTATTTGCAATCTTTTTAATATATTATTAATCGTATATTATATGGTTTATAAGATACGATCCGATATGTAGTGGGTGGGGTTTTAGCCTTTTACGCTATGAGATACACCTCATGGAGAAACTTGAGACTGATGAATCCACGGCGGCTCCGGCGAAAACCCTAGCGTGGTCACTCTCTTGACCGTAATCCATCATCGGACGATACTCCAAATCATCATCGTGATCGTACACAAACTCCGGCATCTCTATCTCGTTCCTCCTCACATGTTCCCACAGATAATCAACTCTGCTTATGTACCTCAGCTTCCCGTACAACCTACCGTAGCCAATCACCACACCAATTAATTAATCAACGTTTAAGAAAAGTCGTTGACCAGAAAATTAAAAAACGCGGCGTGTTAGTTACTCACCCGCCGGAGAATAGAAATCGGCCGCAAGTGGCGAGGAAGAGACGTGATTGAAGACCTGGATGGAGAAAGTAAACCTCCTGGAGATTGTCTCTGACGTTGACCGGAATCGCGTCGTAGATCGCTCTAAGAGCTGAGATTCCGGGGAAATTCTCGCTCCTCTGTACACCGGTGTGGACGTAAAGGACGGCGAATGGTTTTCTACCTAATCGAGGAAAGATCTTCTCCTCTAGATACTTCTTTAACACATCCAGTGACAGAAATCGAGCTGATTTCAGAAAAAGAAAAAAAAACTCAAATTAGATTCCAACTCAATATAGAAAACAAAAAGCAGATCCGATTGTTATATAAGTACCTGGGAAGAATTTGCCGATAATACGAAGGATCTTACGGCCACGTTTGTCTCTGCCATGGATCTTGAAGATCTCAAGCTTCTCGATAAGCTGCTCTTGTTCGATCTCCGAAATCTGAGAACTCATCGTTTCTCTATCTCTTGTTTCGTCGGTGAAATTCGCAGTTGAATTATAGAAGAAGAAGAAGGGAACAACAAATGAGGCGAGTGAAGAAGATGATGATCATTTTAAAAAGGGAAAGACAAAAAAAGAAAATAGTGTATTAATTGGAGGGTAATGGGAGAAACGACGGGCTCTTACGAATATTCTATAGCATCTTCCTTTTTAACATGATCTTCCTCAGTCCTCACCTCTTTGTGGGTCCTACATTCCAATAATTATTACCCTTTTTGCCCTCTCTCTTGATCTTTCGTTGTTAAGCAAACTAATCTGGTCCATCCGTTTTTGCTACATCTAACGGCTACTGCCTTTTTTGACTCTTTTCCCGCCCACGCTCTTAAGCCTTTCGTCTCATCACATGTTTCATGTATATATGGATAAGATAAACGTTATTTTGGATCATCTGGTGTTGATCTCACCTTATAATAATAATTAAGGATTATAAAAGATCTCGATGTTCATATCCAATTGAATCTTAAAAAACTTTATCTAGTGCATATCAAACGGATAATAAGTTAATAACGGCGAAATTTGTGGATCATTATTACAATAGAAAAATACCCAGGAGGCACATGCAAAGGAAAGTATTCAAATGGGCACCGAATCTTGGAGGGCTCATAAACATAAACTTATTCTCTACGTTTCCCATCTATGCTATCTCTACACGCATATATCATATACATAATACATACATGTGTTACTCTTATATAAACCATACTTTTACACATTATACATACATAAAGCCAGTACTAGATGACTGCAGATTCTCGAATTAATAGTACCACCTACCATTTTTTTGGAACCTATGAATCTTTCAATGATCAAAATACTGATGCTCTGGTGTAGGCTAAGAGAGATACATGAAGTTATAACCTCCTATGGCAACTATAAGCACTTTGATCACTTGCATTTGTATAGAACACCCTATAGCTATCAGGAGAATCAAGCAAAGAACATTTACGGATTCACCTTAATATTTTCTGCAACAATACAAAATTTACTGAAGTTGACTGGCCTCATTTGCCTGATCAAGGCTGAATCCAGACATCTCCGCTAGTTCAGCGAGTTCTATTTCTCCGCTTAAGACCTAAATTATAAAAGAGGTGAAATAGGAACTGACATGTGATGAAATGTACAAGGGATTCTGAGGATTTACTCACCTGATCATTTATTATCCATGTTGGGAATCCTTCGATCCCAGCATCTGCACATGCCTTGAGTATCTTAGTTCCTTTCTTATATCCATCAGGAAAACATTCCACGTAGTTCAATTGTTTTGCCGCTTCTCTTCCAAACATCTATAGATGAAGGGAACTTACATGAACATAATAAACCCATGAAACTGATTCCTGGCAAACCAATGATGAATGAATTAACTACCTCTTTTTGCTCTAAGCAGTGAGAACACCAGAATGCCCCATACATTTTAGCTCCAATGGAGTTTAAATGTTTTGCTAAAGCAATAGCATAAGGGCTCGATGCTGAAGTTATCTCTGTTTTAAAATATGGCAGTTCAATGTCACCAGAGCTGGAAGGAGTGAAACAAAAAACGATCGAGATTAAAAAGAAACCACCTGATAAGACTCATTAATCTTTGGGAAGCTATTGGTTCGCTAGTTAGTTACAAAGGACTTAAATTTCCATCGGACTCCCCAAAGAAAACTATGAACTTAGATTACCGTGAAGGGATTGGTTGAGCAGTACTGTAAGAAGCAGTCAAGGAGGCAACTACTATGATTGCTAAGCATATCTGCAATCCTACAACTTGCTGTATTTCTTGCAACTTCACATCCTACCACATGCATGGAGCACATTAACATAATCCGAAGTTTAGAAGTTATCTTGAGTCAATATTTAAGAAAAAAACAAATGTAAAAGAAAAGGAAATAAAGGGATACCTTTACAGAGAGGAAAAATAGACTAAATGATAAGAAAGCAGACACCAGACAATACAGGCATGATGATCCTGAGAGTTTTGTGCTAAGGATATACAGGAAATATGCACTAGCAGATGCCATTGCAGTCGTGATCCCAAATAACGCGAAACGCCCATTGGTCTTACTGATTCCAAAAGGCAGATTCCCTTCCCCAAGCTCTGCACTTAGAGCAGTTACTAAGCCATACATGACAAATCCAATCACTGGGAGAGGAACACCTGGCAAAATGTAAAAAGGATTTTCATTGAGTTCAGCTTTCAAACACATTATACCTGCAATGCAATGTTGGTGAATTCCATTCAATAAGTAAAAGCCGGAGCACAGGACAAAGAACAAAGACAAAGCACTCCATGCTGCAAATTGCAAAACATAGAGTGGAGTGAAGCATGCTATTCACCGAGACTATCACATGCGATTATTTGATCATGCCTACTATAAAAGAGTGGAAAACTAAGCTACATAAATATTTCCAGGTTTAGTCAATTACATAAGAAACAGAAAAATCCAATATACACACAAAATACTGAAACTATAGATTCAGCCATTCAGGACTGCCTAAATTCATACAATCTCGAAAGTCTATTGCAAAACCCAAACCTGAAATACGTAAATCAAACGCTATAATCAATAAAGCGATGAATAATTACCGAAAACGACTGCATAATCGCTGTTCAGGACATCTCCGCAAGTGCCACCACCAATCGGGCAAAACGCATCGGAGCCAGTGACCTTGAGGTAAGTCAAATACGCAGTGTCTAACATCCCAATACCACCGATTCCAGTGTACCAGTTGTATGCCGAACTGTCACTAGTAGATACTTCACTTGTAGACGACGATGAGGAGGAAGACAGCGACGGCGTCGAATCCTCGCCATTTTCCGGCTCAGATGAAGAACATTTGATCGGAATCGCAGGAAATCTCCGATCAGAGACCTAATTCAGAACATCCGACTTCAAATGACCGATCACACTACCATCACTGAAGAAAACGCATGACTAGAATTTACCTCGAATCGTCTCGGATAAGAAGTTACCGACGGAGGAGAAACCTCACGGAAGCCGAAATGAAACTGACAAGATGACACAGAAACAAACCTCGCCATCGTCGTCGTCGAAGAATCTCTATTCCACCATTGTTAACTTCATCTCTTCTCCTCCGCTTCCACTATCTCATCCACTTGTTTCAATATTGGGCCTAAAAGGCCCAAATACGATAATTTGGAACCATAACTAGTCAGTCAAGATTGGGCCTTACTACGGTCTTCTTATCCGTCCGAGTCAGCAAGTTATCCTCTTCAACACGACTCACGAGGCACCGAGTTGGACTTATCATGATTCATTATCTACGCATGGAATACATTTTGGAATCGACTTTGGTACATAATTGAATTTATCCGTAGAAATGATAGAGACTCGAACTCGAAGATCGGACATAAAACTTGCTGACGTGACACCCATACCTTTGTGTCTTTATATTATTATATAAACGCTAGAGAACTAGTGAAGAAGTATCGAAGTAGCATCAAAGTATTCTAAAAGAAGAAGAAAATGGAAACTACCGCCTTTAACACAACATCAAGAATTGGAAGCTGGTCATCAGCTATTTCTCGACCTCTACAAACATGTAGTTCTTTCAAGTGCCGATTACCAACACGAAGAGGTATTGTAGCTGATCTTCGAAACTCCAACTTCCGATGGTGAGCAACCAACGACCAGAATCTCTTTCTCTATCTGATTTTGGATTATGAATAAACTATTAAATACGAGTAATAACTTCTTGTTCAAGGAGGAAAGCAGCAACAACAACAAGCAGAGGGAATGTTTCAACAGAGGCAGTTAAAATTCCTACGTCAGTACCAGTAAGAGTGGCGCGTGAGCTAGCTCAAGCAGGATACCGGTATCTCGACGTTAGGACACCAGACGAATTCAGCATCGGACATCCAACTAGAGCCATCAACGTACCTTACATGTACAGAGTCGGATCAGGTTTTCATCACCGAACTTTAGGCTCCTTTTATGAGAAAGAGTTGAAATGATAAAAAAAAACTTAAAACTAACACCAAGCCAAAAACGTTGCAGGAATGGTTAAGAACCCGAGTTTTCTAAGACAGGTCTCGTCCCACTTCAGGAAACATGACGAAATCATCATTGTAAGTTTCAGTTTTGACATGAGAGAGTAAACCAGTATGATAGCAATCCACTGTTTTACAACATCCTTGAGGCACATAATAAACTAAGTATTGCAGGGTTGTGAGAGCGGGCAAATGTCATTCATGGCTTCAACTGATCTTCTCACTGCTGTAAGTGTGATTCACTTAATCACTTCAATATATATAGCTTAGCGATAGAATCGGTTATCCGATTTAGGACAAGCGGGTTTAATGCTGCCGCATTTACAGGGCTTCACGGCGGTCACAGACATTGCTGGAGGTTACGTCGCTTGGACAGAGAATGAGCTGCCGGTAGAAGAGTGAAAACAAACATGACCAAATCACCTCCTGTAATTATCAATAAACTATGTAGATGTTCTCAATACAAGTGTTTATGTATCATTTACGACCAGTTAATATGATTACTCGCTTCGATTAACAAAGAAAATCGTAGCCGCTCTTAAGAATGGCTTCAAAAGAATGGCTTTCACTTCAATAAAATTCAATCTCTGCAGTGATCATTGTATCAAAAGGAGATTGTTTAAACAAAATTAAACATGGACAAAAAGAGTGAGGCTCTAAGAAACTGTACAACGAAAAACGAAAAGTGAGTTGAGCTCTATCAAACCGATCAAACCATCAGCGCACCCGAGAGTGTCAACGATGACCTTTTTTTAGGCCTGAAAAGTAACCACCATGTTTATCCTTGTGGCGCTCATCATCTCCAACCTAGTGGTTTCACAACATATTATTGCTAAGAATCGTGTTGGTCAGAGAGATACAATGATAAAGCAATTACCTCACGGATTAGTTGGTTAAGCATTTCTATGATTTCTGCAAAATCGGGTCTTTGGGCTGGGTCTTGCTGCCAGCATTTCTCAAGAAGTTCAGTCAGTTTTGGATGTGTTTCCTTTGGAATTTTTGGTCTAAGTCCCTGTAAAATAATTACAAGGCATTGTGTTGAAGGCCTCTCAACAAAGCACGCGAGAAATAACTATTTAAGTCCTATAGACATGATACCTTTTGGACAACGCCAACAGCAGCTTGCAGTGGAGTCAAGTAAGAATATGGGAGCTGTTTTCATTCATTATACACCAGAAAGAATAAAATGGTGTTAAACACATGAGATAACTGAAGACATCTACACAGGAGACTAGGAGTCTTACTTCCCCAGTCAAAAGTTCCCACAGCACAATCGCGTAGCTGAAGACATCTGCCCTGTGATCATAAGGTTTGTGCTCAATGACCTGAGTTCAGAGAGTCTAGTGTCAATAGCATGGAAAGCAAAAAAAAAAAAGAACAAGACAAAGAAGTAAAATACCTCTGGAGCCATCCATCGGTATGTCCCTGTTTCAGCTGTCATGACCCCCGACTCAGTCTGCACTCTGGCAACCCCAAAATCGGCAACCTTGACAACCTGTTCCAAATGATTAGAAACTAAAGACATGTACCTCTGTTCTTGTAAATAAGTTTTTGTAGAATTTTAAAGGTTTACAAGCTGAAAAGACAACATAAACTGAGACCAAATAATGTTCAAAGACTACATGATCAGTGGCCAAAGATTGAGGCTTACTTCATGTTCGTCCATAAGAAGATTAGCAGTCTTTAGGTCTCTATGAATAATATTGTTTTGATGCAGATAATTCATTCCTTTCGAGACGTCAAGTGCCACTTTGAGCAAAGATTGAATTTTAAAAACGCCTTTGTGTTTGTGAAGGAAATCATATATGCTCCCCCGAGTCATGAACTCTGATACAAAGGATAAAATCATCCGACCATGAATACATATAAAAGCCAAAACTAGGAGATGAAATGTTAACAGTATTTACTAAAAAATAATCTATAGAACCTCAATGTGCTGCTGAAACAACTTTCTCACCATGCATGATGATACAGAACCAACAGAAAAAAACGATCTATATGGAACCAGTCTCCTATTAAGAATCTACTGACAACTTACCAGTCACAATGCAGAGGTTTGGTGATCGTGTACATGCACCGATAAACTGGACAACATTTTTATGCCGGACTTTCCTACAAATAGGAAAGTATCAGTAAGTACCGTCCCACTGAGAAAACTAGTGCATGTCTCTGAATAATAACTTTGTTTAATGGACATTTAGGTGCAAGCAAATGAGCGGAACTCATGCATGTTTCTATATATAGACCATGAAATGGAGTTTTCGGAGAATCATTAGAATACAAATACTATAAGAGTACGAGTGGCAATAAGAATCAATTGCAGCACACCTCATTATATACACTTCCTGAGAAAACTCTCGTAGCATTTCCGCATTAACACGCTCAGGCTTGAGAATTTTGATAGCTACTTCCTGACTACAATAGGTTCCTTTAAATCTGCATAGCTTTCAAGAATATATATATATGTGAACTTCCTAACATTGTATTAGAAAAACAAGATTTTTGCATTTGAAAACTCACAGTTCCCCGTAGGATCCACATGCCACCTTTTTTTCAATTTTGAGCTGTTTCATGTCAATTTCCCACTCATCAGTTCCATCCGTAGGTATTTCAACACATGCAGGTAGCAGCTCGTTGGTTGATTTGTCATGCTCAAAGAAAGTGATAGATTTCTGTTTTGAACAAGGTTGATCCTGCAGAGCAGCCAGTGTGGAATATGGAGACATGACAACTATCAAAATTTATTCAAGACATAGCAACAAAACATCAGTCCACCGCCGCATTAAGTTTTGGATCGAGCTAATGCTAAAGCACTGCTTGCATTTTCAGAATTCAAATTACGAATGCGGCATGGAGAAAATATAAGGAATGCTCATGACAATAGAATAATAAAAGATACCTTAAGCTTCCTTATCTCCTTCGTCAATGCATATTTTAAACCTTCTGTTTCCTGTATTTCAAAGTCATTTACTTAATCCATCAGTCACAAGTAAAATGATGGTTCTGAAAGATGCTGTGATCTATACAGAAAACTGAAACTATACCTCCTGCGACCAACCATCAACAACGAATACATCCAAAGAGAAACCATCCGCGGTAGAGAAAGCATGAGCCTCTTGAATATTCAATCCAAGTTCACCAAGCATGGAAGTTAACTGCAACAAAAAAAAAAAACGGTTTCTCTGTCAGAAAATGGCTCAATGGAAACATAACCACCCATTCTCTACATGACTGTATCTAATGGATCGTAGAAAGGGAATCCTAAACATCACTCTACAGCGATTGTTAAAGAAGACAAAGTCACATGTTTTCAAAATCAGAGCTGACATAAAGAAAAGAAATGAAAGAAACAATAAAATTCACCAACCTGACTAAGGAGTTTGGGCCTGTCTATTGTAGAAAAGGTGATTTCGTGCATCGGTCTATAAGAGAGGAAACAAAGGATAATATCACCACACACACATGGTTGTACAAAGTATTCCTCTTCAATTATATGCAGACAAGAAAACTAGAGCAAATAACTCACCGAGAATTAGGCAACTGTGCATTGACAGCACTATCATCGTCTTGAGCATGATCTTTGTAGGCTTGAGTAAGAGCCTCGAAATTCGGAGAAGAACCAAAAGTTGGAGGTGCAAGAGCCCTCGAGTTATAAGAGCTTTGAGCATCTTCCTTGACCGCAGGATCTGAAGGATCAACGTCACCAGAATTTCCATTCAATGTGGGAGAAACCTGTACACAACGAACTTCGAAAACAGGTCTAGTAGAAGGATCTTCAGCCAATTTCAACAATCTCTGATGAGTAAGAACATCTTCTGCTCTCTCAACATTCACATCCAAAGCATATCTATACACAAAATCCATTTAAGCTCGAAATCAAATTTTCAAACAATTATATCACAGGATTGAAAATATACCGAGCAGGAAGACGATTGAAGTGAAGCCAGAGGTGATCATCAAAACCAGGGAAATTAGCTTCTTCGTAATTGGACTCCTGGATTCGTTGAAGAACTTCACCGTACACCTCAAGTTTCATACGATGCTGTCTAGGGCTTTCTTTCGTTATTGAAGCTACTACTGCTCTGCTTCCGCAACTCTCCTCCGTCTCTTCTTTGATCGCCATCGGAAAACACCAGATCAGAATTGAAAAACTCAAGTAAACAAAACCCAAAAAATCAAGTCAACACTAGGAGTGATCTATTCTTCGATCCTAAATCACGAAAAAGGAGAATGATCCAAGATTCAAGTAAAGGAGAAAAGATTAGAAATCGGAGAGAAGAGAGAGAGAGACAGAGGGTTGTGTTTGGGTTGAAAAGCCAGGGAGGACATGAACGTTTCGTTGTGTAACACGTAGGGCCTGTCCACGTCATTATGTAGGGTCCATGTGAGTGTGGGTCACGAGAATACTCTTATTTTTTCTAATTATTATAATCCTTTAAATGGATAATGGACAGTTTTGCTTTTTTGGCTTCGAGATAAAAATGTATGGTGGTTCTCATGTTTATCAAGCAAAAAGAAAAGGAGATGATGATGGTGGATGGTGATGCCTTTTTTTTAATGTTTTGCTACTTATGATACAAATATGATGACATATTTATGGACATGTTTTTGTTTTTATTTCACTATCTTCTGACTTCTGTATAACTTTTTTCCGGCTTTGTCTAAGGGGGTGTTATTGGTTTATTAGTTTGTAAATCCATATAGAATTTGAAAATCTCTATTAATTATGAAATCAAGATATGTGGATTTTGAAATAACATGTGTTTACCCATGGATTTGAATCCTTCTATTTTACTCTTTCAATTCCATTCAAATCCATTTAAAACATAATTTGGATTCTCAAATCCAAAAACAAATGACTAAACGAATAACAAAGGATTTTAACTAGTATTTATAATTCATAGAACCAATAACACATGATTTTAATTAGGATTTTAAAATCAATGATTGAATAACAAATGATTTTTGTTTGGATTTCTAATTCCTTATAAATCCATGAACCAATAACCCCTCCTAAGTTTATTATTGGTAAATTACATAAAAGTTGATCTTGTTACAATTTACAACACGGAAGTTCCGAATTTTTTTATTTATTTTCCTACACAACAAAGAAAAATAACCCGTAGAAAACCAATAGCAATACGTACGAGGGGGGCCTAAATGATAAGTATAGGCCTTTAAAACTTCAGTCCTAACGCAACAGATCATATTTGTTGGGCCTTGTGGCCCAAATTTGCTTGGTGTGGGCGTGTGGCTACAAGTTACTGTATGTTACAAACTTTGAAACAAGTAAATAAAGTGGCAACGTTCCCAAAGTTAAGACAAAATGAATATGGCGACAATAATATCCCATTGAACCATATCCCATATCAGGTTCGGTAATTAAAATCATGAAATATATATAAATAAAATTTATCCGAAATTAAAGAAAAAAACAAGAAGAGGGGAATATTATACAGCTGTGAAAGGAAAGCGTGATGACGTGGCGGAAACCAATCAAGTACCAATGATTGGTCACTACTGCCTTCTCTTCTTCCAGATACTTTATTCCCTTCCACCGGTTCATGCTGACATTGCTTTTGCGTCTACGAAGCCCTTCTTATAACTAACTAACTAACCAAACAATTCTAATCCTATATTTGATCTTTAATTCTAGTTTAATTTCTCCAATATGAATTCATGCAACATGCTATCTTGTCAAGAAAAAATTGGCGTATGAAAGTTTTAATCAAATAAATACCAATACGAAAACTCAACGCAAATAAATTAAATAATTAGCTTGAGAAATGATTTGATGACCATAAGATACGGTTAAGGTCAAGTTCCATTTATATAATAATACCAACCAGAGGAGGACACGTGTAGGAAAAAGATAAGCCTGTTGCAACGTCGGGTACGCTAAAACCACCTGAGACGCGTTTTTGGTTGGTTTATCAATCAAATTCCGGAAGGATACTAATTAATTAATAACGAAAACCGAAAATAATTACCATAGGTGACAATGTTTTGTTTTTCATTACATGACCACCATTAGCTCTCCCTACATTATATCTTAATTAGCCACAATAAATGATTTGAAACGTAACACACGATAACATCGAAATATAGAAGAGATAAATTTAACTTATTATATGTGACTTAATCAGTCCCATCTTTTATGGTAGAGACTAGAGACACAAAGACAATTATTCCACTAACAAACGAATTAAGTAACAATGATAAAGCGTAATCGGGTATTGTTTAATCGCGTAAGTATACACAAGCAAAAGGAACTAATGTATTTTCTTGAAGAATACGTAAATAAATAAAAGAGAGGTTAATGATGTTGAACGTCATCGCATCATCATTGCTCCACCACTCCTCTATTTATAGTCTTTTTTTCTTTTTATTTTTCCTCTCCACTCTTTTCACATTTGGTCCCTCTAATATTGCTTCTTCTTCTTCTTCTTCCATTTGTCTTTTATAGCGAAAAATCATCTCTCCATAGAACACAAAAAGAGCAATAACGTAAAAGTGTGAAGAAACGAAGTAAAGACAAGAGAACAATTATGGGGCAATGCTCATCGACGACAAAGATGAGGAGAAAGAGGAAAAGGGAAGAAGAAGGTTGCAGAGAATCAATGGAGAGGAATAAAGGATGTTTAGCTATGGTGAAGGAGAGGCGTTCTAGGTTTTATATCGCCAGAAGATGTATTCTTATGTTACTTTGTTGGCACAAATACGCCAATTCTTGATGAGGTTTGTGTTAGCAGTATTCGATAAACACGTATATACAATTTGATTATTTGGACTCTGGTCATAGCTTTGTTTTTTGGCGTTTCTTTTTTTAGTTTGAAAGTTTCAAGCTATAGTTTGGTATCTCCACTTTTTTGTTAAAACAAATATTTGCGAACAATCTCAAGATTCTAGTCACAAAAGATATTGTGATTCATTCAATAACAAGTAGAGAATAGAGACAGAACAGAAAAGGTATTACAGGTTGTAGTTTTCACTTCACAGAGTTCCGACAGAATAAAACGTTAACAACAGAAAAGACATGAAACCCAAAGCGTCGCCTGACAGAATCTTTGTGCTATTTTAAGGATGATCAATTACACAACCTAAATCAACAGAGAAGTTTTTGAATCCTTTGTCAAGAGGATGAAACAGGTCATCTCGAGCCACGGGGTTCATACCTTCTCTCTGACCTCTCCGACCTTCTCTCTGATCTTCTTTCTGGGCTTCTTCCATGAGGAGAGTAAGACCGATCTCTTCTAGACCTTCTTTCATCACGAGGTGAATAGTCGCGTCTTGGTGACCTACGGTCTCTATAATCATCACGATCATAGTGCCTCCCTCGACTGCTACGGCCATCTCGATCTGTTTATCACAACAACAAAAGATTACGAATCAGTTAGCAATCTTTCATTTGTATAGAGAGTTAATAATATCTACGAGGCTTCAAATGTTCACTTACCGCTGTCTCTGGAGCTTTTCAAGCCAAGATAGTGGCCTGGGGTGGGAGTTCTCGGGCGCTTTCTCCTGGACTGAAGATAGCACAAAGTACATAAACCTCATGTAATGAAACACAACTTTCAATCTAGAAAAGCCATAGGTATATTCAAGGAAACAAGATGCATCCTAGGCTGGAGAAACACTTGACTAATAGTTGTTGATACTTGATAAGGTCCTTTGACTAGTTGATAGTTGAGAGTTGAGAGTTGAGGCAATATAGTTGCTTATGATTAGTAGGATCAGATCATTTGGAAAAGCTGTTTAAGCTGGCGATTCGATTGATCAAGCTGTGTTTCACTTAATGATGTTGAGCAAGGATGAGTACTCTTATCATCTCTGATTGTTGCTTGATGCAATATTTTCTGAATGATCAGAAAACCTCCAAGTCAACAAATAATGATCTCAAACTAATTATACTACCACCAAAATCAGTAGAGCATGATATTTTTACCCTTTCGACAGTTATGTATCGGCCTTCTAGAACAGACTGGTTGAGATATTTAATGCACCGCTCAGCATCTTTAACGCTATCCATTGTAACAAAGGCAAAACCACGAGACACACGGGTGCGCGGCTCCATCACAAGAAAACAAGACGCAACCTATGGAAATGAAAATGGTTAACTACATGATTAAGGATTGTATGCTCAAAAACGCAGAGACAAAATAGACTTAAACTGGTAGTATGAGAAACGAGAATCAGCTTTAGATGTTATCACCTTTCCTTCCTTGGCGAAATGTGCTTCAAGATCCTTGTCAGTGACTCTTGTAGATAGGCCAGTTACATAGAGAGTGGTACCAGGGTTTTCAACTTCACTTCTGTCAACCAAAATTCATTCACATAATGTAAACATTGCAAACTATCAATCCAATTACAGACAACAAGAGAATGCAAAATCATATGGAGAAAGCTAGAGCTAACCTTCCGCGGCTTCTTGACCTTGACCTACAAAGTGTACAGGTAATGAAAAAAGATTACCACGCAAGATGCTTCAGAAATCTACGCAAAATCTACATAAGAAAACCCTATACTTAACGCAATAACTAACCTTCCGCGGCTTCTTGATGGAGATATAGGCCTTGGCAAAGATCTTGACCTGGACCTAAGCCTGGATCTGGATCTAGACCTGGACCTGGATCTAGCTCGTTCTTTTCGGGGTGAAGGAGATCGTGAATCCCTGATGCAGAAATCAAGTAAAGATTACACACTCTCTAACAAAAAAAGTTTATCCGAGGCACATCTCATTGAGACTTGATACTTAGAAACACCATCGAATTTAGCTCTTTATCAGTCCTATGAGCTACAATATCCAATCAAATAGGATTTTCAACTTAAAAAAAATCAAGAAAACTACAACTAAATAGAAAAGGACTCCAATACTAGATCTTAAAAAAGTCAAAAGTCCCCAAATCAATTCGTCAGATTCACAACCTACGCAATTGTAATGCAATTCAAAATTGTTGAAACATGTAAAAACCAAAAGAGAACGATTATAGGAGGAGCATTAACAATAACATCCCTGAAATGCGAAGCAATAGAAACTTGAATCTAACCTTCTTCGAGGAGAATCCGCCTGCAAAACGAAGTAATTACCTCAAATTTCTCAGGAATATCAAAGGAAGATCAAGAAGAACATAGAGATTTAGTCGTAGAAGCTTACCATTGCGAAAGAAACAGAGGTTGCGATCGAGACGGAGAGATTTAGGGTTTAAGTGAAAGCAACAAAGCGTAAAATCAGTCTTTATTTTCCCCCTTGTCTACAGATGAATTATTCAATAAAATTTTATATTACAGGAGTAAGTAATTGCATGGGGCAAGACTCACGTTTCTTATGGTGCATTCTGCAACAAAGAAAGATAAAAAAAAATAATCGTAATCAATTCGGATTAGGATCTCCGGTCTGACTCTTACCACCTCGGTTCGGTTTGATTTTCCCAGCATTTTCATTGTAATACCGTAAATTAAAATATGGATCTGTCTATGAATCTTCGGTTTGGTTCGGTTAACATAACATAGTAGCAGTTACACAGAACATCATCATTCGAATTTGAAAGAAAAAACGAGAAAAACAGAATATCCTCATATTATTTTGCCTCTTCACTCACTCACGATCTCTACATTTTTCACCCCAACAAATATTTGACGACAATCACAAAAGAATGTATTAAAAGAAACAACACAGTTAAATGTACAACTGAAACAACACTTCCAGCTATTCTTCAGGATCAAAAGAAACCCCCAAAAAATGCTGAAATTTACATTGAACATGATGAACATTACGTGGTTAAAGTGTCAGGAAGAGCCATGGAATGAGCTCCAATGATCTTACCACCAACATCTGGGAAATTTTCGTAATCAGGAAGAGGGCTTACTTTACCATCAACATCTACTTGTAGAGGATACTTTATTAAGTGACCTTGTAGCTCCGAGAATTCCGAGTCTATGAATTTTTTCCAGTTTCCTTCAGAGATTTTGTTCACGTTCTTCACACATTCCAGATCTGCTGGCTCCACAAATTCATCTCCAGTTTTGCCTAAATGCTCTGCCCATAGTGACATTCTGTATCCATACACCTGTGTCGATAGAGATATCATCAAACCTCTTTATGTCTTACTCTTTCACGAAAATTCAATATATATAATGGTTCAAGAATCTAAAGCAGAAACACAACTCTTCTGTCAAGCATCTAAGAACGTGATTTTCCTTAAGATCAAATGCTATCCCAACCTAACTTTTCATTTCTTTACTGTTTTTAAATATAAGATTCAGGAATTTGAAACTTTCCCCATGTAGATAAAGATACACTTTTGAGGTTTGGTCATGGTATAGATAATGATGATGATGTTAGGAGGAAGGCAAACCTGGCCACGTGGGTGTTTTCCCTTGTGAGCCCATGTATGATTAGGTTGGTATGCGCCCATGGCGATTTCAGTATCTTTGGTGCCCGCCATCGATCTTTGGTTGATATTAGCAGATCCCATGAGTACATACTCATCATCTACTACCATCCCCTTTGCGTGCACGTAAATCATGAAACGCTGGAACTGATAAGAATCCGATACCTGAAAAATGCAGTTAAAATGATCATAAGGAAATTGTTCCACGGATTACTACAGAAAACTTTATGTATGATTTCTCTATCTGTAAGCTACAGTTTTTGTGCATGAAGCAATTCTTAGTCTTTGAAGCTTATACCACATTGCCATTGGTGGCTGGCATATCATCTGGAAGATGCTCTCGTTTACCAAGGCAATAAAAGTTAAGGTAATCGAGAGGATGAGCATCTGATTGCACCGCTTTCAGTTCTTTTGCTATAACATCGTACATCATCTGCATAGTTTGGCTCTGCGAAATGAAAAGAAGAAAAGATGTTTAGCAGAAAACGTTAGTTTCTCTTTTAAATAAATAGAAGCATTTGCGCAAATCTTACAGTCAGCTACCTGCCAATATAGAATTTCTTGCACAGGGCCAGACTTTGGGTCGCCTTCAGGCCATAATGGTATGACAACATATACAGCAAATCTTTCCTTAGCTCTGATTTTACTAACAATCTTTAGAGCCAACTCCATAGGAATAAGATTGTCAGCTCCTGCTCATACAAGAAGAACACAGAATGAGAAAATCCACAAGCGAAAAGGTATATTCACTTCCATTTGTACAGATGGAAATACATTCCAGATAATAGTTAGGTGAAAACAGAGCCAGGCAAACAAAACTAGTAAGTGAGAACAATTCTAGACTTTATGCAGTCAATGTAATGTGAGCATTTGATTTCCTAGTCTAAGAACTGTACTCAAAGATCAAGATGTACCTGCATCTCTATACGAAGGCCAAGCATAAGAAGAACCCAGGAAATACTGATTCTCAATATATATGAAATGCTGAGCAGATCTGATTGTCTGGATGTATGCAGTCTGGATGCTTTTATCTATAACAAGACGCTTGGCACATTCCAGATGCTGCAGTAAGAAAATAATTTTGAAGACTTAATAGTGCAATTTATACCATGTGTTGGCTTATAAACAGAAATTCCATTGAATAAATGGTGATTCTTCAAGGAAGATTATTATAAATAGCAGATAAGTTGATCTACCAACCTGGGCCTCAGCCTCATCTTCATACTTTGGAAATCCTTTCACGGATCCTGAGTCGATAGACCGGAATATCTGGAAGTCAAAGAAACTGCATGGTTAGATCAAATTAACAAAATTTGTTACATAAAAAATATTGTTTGGAAGGAATCTGGAAGGACCTGAACATGCCAGTTCTCAGGATCATCTTCTTTAGAAACCCAAACACATGGATCGTCCTCTGGAATAATTGTAGTACCATCCTTCAGAAATTTAAACACTGGACTTAGAATCCATGATATGCGCCCTATCCGGATCAAAGCATCATCTTGCCAGTGAGTTTTCCCCTTTAAACGTAAGCTAAACTCTTTCCATCGTGTTGCCTTTCTCCATCGCTGCTCAAAGTTTATGAGAACATCATATGCCGCAGGCCCATCTATCCTACAGTGCAAATCATGCCAAGGTTGTCTTGGAGCCTTAGTACCAGCCTAAGGAAGAAGAAACAGAATACGAATCAGAAGTAGATAAGGAATAATGATTCTAGCTTGAAAACATACGGTAAATAATCATAAACTTACAGGAAATGTAGGATTGTGAAAATCATCCTTAAATACAGTGTCAAGATCCTTGAGTATCCTATGCTCAGGTGTGTCATAGCGGCCATCACAAAGATCTAAACCTCCAATAAAAGCTGTGACCTTGCGATTGTTACCAACAGCCTGAGTGTCTACAAGAACACACTTTTGATGGTGCGTAAAGAGAGTGCCAACAACCTGAGGATCAAACAAAAAATTAAACATCAGAGATCAAAAAGGAAATCCCATGGAATGATAATAGTTATGCCAAAGCCGAAATTGACACAACATTTTGACACCCACATGTTGAAAGAGCCTTTAACTAAACAATCGAGAAACAATGGCGTGACATGGATTAGAGTCAGGACATCTCTTATAATTGAAAGTAAACATCCACATTAACTAATTTCCAACTTGGCAATAACCCTCATCATGCGTGACTACACCCCCTTCGCTAGAACATATCAACATCAATACCAAACAAAAACTGTCATGAACATATATATAGAAGAGCTAGGACTTGCCTGCTGTTTGAACAACCCAAGCTTACTGCTGGCATACCGGGGTGACAATACGCAAATCACAGAAGAATGCTTGAAGAACTTCCTAGTCTCTTCATCATGTGTTCCCATAACTCCAGGCTGCCAAAGAAAACATGCCATACAACATCTTAATGTCAAAACATAAATTATCCTCACCAGAAACTCCAATTAACATCACAACTACCAATCCAAAGCTCAAAAATAGTAAAAAAAATCCAAAGAACTTGTGAAAACACTAACCGTGCTTATCCCAAATTTATCATGAGAAGTCTTATCATCCCATACAAGAAGCAAAACTCGAACACCTTCCTCTGATTTGTATTTGAGCAATTCCCCAAGCGTCAAATCACCACCTCTTGGTAATTTCCTTGTAGGTTCCCTAACCAGCTTAATCTTATGGAAGACAGACCAACCAACAACGTAAATCATATGATGAGCCTCAGATACAGCATAACATATATCTTCCCAACACTTCCCATGTTGATAAACTTTCCCGTTATCTAACCCAATCTCCGGCAACATTCCGTCCATAACATGAGCGTCCTGGTAAAGCCTCACCTGACTTCCTTTCCTCACAGGGAAATAAGTCCGTTTAACACCTTTACGGTCCGGATCTCCGGCGATTCCACATCGGTAACTATGGATCTGGTCGAACGGAGTAAATTTCATATCGATGAAAAGAGCAGTTTCTGCCTTAGGCGGTTTTCCTGAAGCACCGAGTACAGGAAACCAACCAGAAATGCGTTCTCCCGATGCGATGTCTCGAACCGGGATCTTAGCCGTGCCAATGATTTGAGCACCGAAAACATCGTCGTCTTTGACCTGGAACTCGAGATAAGCCAACGGATGCGCTACGGAGATGTTGAAATGCTCGTCCCAAAGAGGATCTTGTGAGTTTTTCAAAACACGTGTTCGAGCTAGAGTGGCTTGAGGAACGACGACGGTGACGTACGGATCGCTGGTGATAACCTTACGGTGGCTACGGATGTTTCTATCACCGACTTCGCCGCTATCTCTGGGATCGACATCATCGGTGGGTCTAGAACAGGCGTTACAAGCGGTGAAGACACGGCGCAAATGTTCTGAGAACATATCCATGTTAGGTAACCTCCTCGCCTTAACAATTTTCAAATCGAGGTCACCGTGTAGAAGCATCACGTCCTCCGATGCTTTCTCCGCCATGGTTACAAACAATCAGGTGGAAGAAAACGAAGAAGAAGAAGAAAAGCTAACAAAAACCGAAAACCCTAACGAACAGGGCTCGGTTGTTGTTGCTGCTGCAGAAACCAAAGATGAATTTGAAAAGTTTTTTTTTTAAGAAAATGAAAGATATTTATTATTTTAGGTAAATGATTTGAGAGAGAAAGACAAAGAAGGAAGAAGAAGAGGGGACACGTGGAGGGACGACGTGATGGGAGTTGTTTGCTCACTCACTGACGACATTATTCCGTGTAGATCTGAGAGAGTCGTTGCACACGTTCTTCAATCTAGCTTCTTTAATTGCTAAACTTTACTTAATTAGTTCACAAAATCTATTGATGACGAATTTGATTTTAGAATGTTGTGCCAATAGTTTTCTAGACGTAAAGAGGAAAAATGTTAATACAATAATGGTAAAATTGACAATGATGATGTGAAGAAGTCTTCTATTTGTCTGGACAAATAATTAAGAAGACAAGTCAAAAACCAGCAATGCGAATCTGAGATCCACCCACCACATCCATGGGATTGTTTTCCAGAATAAGCTTCATTTATTTTATACAAATAAAAATTGGGAAAATGATGATTCATCACATATACAAAATCCCAAAAACAATTATTCAATGGTGTGGATAAAACAAGAAATAAACCCATTTTGGAAAGTCGAGCTGTTTAAAGTGGTTACCTATCAATCAATATTTGTCGGAAACAAGGAAAAAGGTATTCTCGATTCGTATCTACTCAATGAACCAACAGTAACATAAAGAATCCTTTCATGAATTACAAAAGAACCGTTCACATGTTTACTTTCTGAGATCGAACACAGCAAAAACTAAACCATACGAAAAGGAAAAGCCCAAAGTTTATGATATGTTTTTCTTTGCTTATACTATTTTCTTTCTGGGGGATGAGGATTGGATGGCTTTATGGATCAGTTTAGAATAATATACAACTCACAAAAAAAAGGATCTACTAAGGAAGCCTCTGTCACAAAGTTATCCACAGAAGATCACTTTGAAACGGTCCTTTCCTTTTCTCAGCTTTCACCGACTCTTGAATTATGCCCTGCGGGTTACACGATATGCCATGTGGCTAAGTTTGTGAGGTAGTAAGAGTTGTAAACCCAAACGGTTCCAACTTCCAAAGAGATTTAGACGTTACCTAAGACTTGGAATACCTCTTCCCTCTCTTTCAAGGGTTGCTTTTACCATCCTTACTGACATCTTTTCCAGTCTTGGCATTTTTCTCGCCCTCATGTGGTGTATACTGACCCGTAGATGACGGTGAATAACCGGGAAGTGTCGGTGAGTAGCCTGCGCTTGGGCTGTAGTCAGGGCTTGCTCCTGAGCTATACGGGCTGAGACAGATTTAATAACAACCCGGTTACACTTTTTGCGGAATTTAAATGAGATTGATGCATACAACAGATTCAAGATTTTCAAGCGGGTAAAAGTCAAACCTGCTGGGACTGTATGTTGGACTTGAAGGTGAATAAGATGGAGATGTGGGTGAGTATGATGGTGATGTCGGGCTGCAGAATAAAATTTTAATAATAGTTAACGATTAGAGAAGATGATCACCACAGATGAGAGAAGCATAGAAAGTGTATAAATTAAGAAATTACTACTTACCTGTAGTTTGGAGATGTAGGACTGTAGGGGCTAGCTGGTGATAGTCTTGCATTGCTAGGAGAGTAAGCTATAGATGGGCTGTATTTGGCAGACTGAGGGTTGTAGCTTGGAGACGTAGGACCGTAGCTTGGTGATGTTGGACTGTAACTTGGTGAAGTAGGGCTGTAGCCAGGAGATGTGGGGCTATATGCGGGTGAAGTAGGACTATAAGACGGTGATGTGGGACTGTAAGATGGTGAAGTAGGGCTGTAAGAAGGCGATGTTGGGCTGTAAGATGGTGAAGTTGGGCTGTAAGAAGGAGAGGTTGGGCTGTATGCTGGTGAAGTTGGGCTATATGCAGGTGAAGTCGGGCTGTAAGCAGGCGAAGTCGGGCTGTAACTTGGGGACGTAGGGCTGTAGCTCGGAGATGTCGGGCTGTAGCTTGGCGACGTAGGGCTGTAGCTTGGAGACGTAGGGCTGTAGCTCGGAGAGGTAGGAGAATAGGAAGGACTTGTAGGAGAATAAGCAGGGCTTGTTGGGCTATAGCCAGGAGAACTGGGACTGTAGGTAGGCGAAGTTGGACTATAACCGGGAGAAGTCGGGCTATATCCAGGTGAAGTGGGACTGTAACCGGGAGAAGTAGGACTGTATCCAGGGGATGATGGGCTATAGCCTGGAGAAGAAGAAGGCGAAAAGGCCATTCCACCAACATATGGAGAAAACTGTGCATCTGACATTGGCGACAAACGCATATTTGGACTTAACAGGTAGTTCGGAGACATCATGCCTTCATGGTAAGGAGTGCCTGACACTGGTGAACGCGCAGGAGTCATTCCAAATTCCAGACCATCCATATAGCTAGGGAGCTGAAGTTCAATTGCATTCTTCAGCATCTCATCATTCAGATACAATTCACAATCTCCTGTCCCAATTGGTGCAAGTTGACCCAACATTATATTCTCAGTAACACCCCGTAAGCAGTCTGTCTCAGCATAAGCCGCAGCATCTAGCAGAATATCAACTGTTTCTTCAAAAGAGCATCTCATCAGAGGCCCAGTGTCATTTCTATTGATACCATGTCGAGTGATAGCCATCAGATGACCGCGATAGGTCATAGTATCACACAAGATGGCAAGATGACGGTAATTCACATAAGAACCATCAAAGGATATCACAACACGGAGTTCATCCAACAAAGCACGACGAACTGCCTCAATTCCGAGAACTTCAATAATTTCAATCAAGTGATTGCTTGTTGTTCTCTTTGGATCCACATCTTCGTGGCACATAACAGCTAAGAGATTAACACCTTCTGTATCCAACATCCACTCCTCAGATGTCTTGAAACCTCCCTCCTCATCAAACCTGCTTTTCCTAACCTGTTTAATAAAAACCTTGTTGATGTCTGGAATACCTCTGAGCGCCATTTCTGTCAGCATGTTGCTCTCAATCTTTTTAAGGAAAACATCATCCTCAGCTGACTCATCTTGCAACTCTCCCTTTGGGCCCTCATCGTTCATAATACGAATTCGAAGGATCAGTTTTTGAGCATTATCATCATTGAATATGCAAGTTAGGTCATCATCAAACTCAAGGTTGATCTTCTCCGCAATATCCGCCATACTCAATTTCTTATCAACCATCATCTCACGATTCAACTCTATACGAAGTAGCCAAGGAGATATTTTATCTGGAGAAACATCTTCATCTGGCATCTCATAGTAGGACCTCACAAATTCCAAGTCCTCTTCAATTATAGTACTCATTGGATCTGGGTCATACCAGACTTCCGTAGCTTGAGTGACACTCCTGAGAGTAGTATACTCCAAAGCACACTGAACAGTCTTAGCCCCCTCTTTTGATTTGCTAGCTTCTGGAGTGAGATAGACTGATAGGGATGGTGTTTTGATCCTCTTAGCTACATTAATAATTTCACGCAACCTGGGAACACCAAGTGTAACGTTCTTTGCACTAACACCAGCATAATGGAAGGTGTTCAGAGTCATCTGCGTAGCAGGTTCTCCAATTGATTGAGCAGCAACACAACCGATCATTTCCCCTGGGGCCACTAGCGATTGTAAAAACCTCGATTCGATCTCACCAATGACCCACTCAAAAGCCTCGCGGCTAAGCTTGTATTCTTCCAAAACTCTTTTACTAGCAAGAGTGCTGCGGAGCAAAATGTTAAAGAACAATGTTGCATTTTTCTGTGCTTCCACACTCAACGCATCATCACCAGGAACAACCAACAGCCTCTCCTGTAGTTTATCAACAGCATCAACAATTTCAACAGGGTGCATATCCGAAATTTTGCGCAAGTCAATTTTGAAAGTCTTCTGCGCATTCCAGATATGCCTCTTGATGTTAACAGGCAATGGCCAAGTGCTGTCACCATTAGTTGCAATTTCAGTCCCAAGTTGGAATCTGTCAGTCTCAAGTTTCGAATATTCCGCATCGAATACATCACGCAACTCCCGAATTCCCTTCAAGTCCTCGAGATGTTCATCACTTAGGTATGTAGGATTCCAGTTTTCGTCGTCAATCTCATACTTAAAAGTCCTATCAAACTCTGATTTCTTCATTTTCAAGGAATCCAGCTTCTGTGATTCTATCCATACAGCATCCATACCATCTTCTCCATAGAGAAATTGAATAACATCACCCAAAGAGTTTCTGACTGTCCCATCATACTTAACCATAATATCCTCCATAGCCTTTACCAATCGCCTCTGAATGTATCCAGTTTCTGATGTCTTCACAGCAGTATCAATAAGACCTTCTCTTCCTCCCATGGCATGGAAAAAGAACTCTTGAGGAGTCAATCCACGCAGGTACGAATTCTCAACAAAACCACGACTTTCAGGACCATAATCATCTTTGGTGAAATGTGGCAATGTCCGCCCATCAAATCCAAATGGAATACGCTTCCCTTCAACATTTTGCTGACCGACACACGCTGTCATTTGAGAAATATTGATGAAACTTCCTTTGGATCCTGCTGTCACCATGGCCTTAAGGTTATTGGTTTCTGCTAAACTCTTTTGAGCACTACTTCCAGCATCATCACGAGCTTTATTTAAAACCTACAAGAAAAGTTTATGAGTCAGCACATATGAAAAATGTACTGACAACCAAACGAAAATCAAATAATTATCGTCTTGAATATACCTGGTTGACCCTGTTCTCAAATGTCTCTGTCATAGTTCGGCCAGGCTCAGGGTCCAATTTCTTTTCCTGGAACTGCCGGATAAGATCTTTCACAGCAGTTTTTGCATTGGAAATAGTTTCATTAATTTTCTCCATTGTTGATGAATCGGCAATTGTGTCACCAATTCCGATGGTAAAACCATTCTGCAGAAGCCAGTAATTGACAAGCCATTGAGTATGACCGAGGAATTTCCTCGCTGCATCAGGACCAACCTCTTCCCTGTAAGCCAAGTAAAAATGAATTAGAACAAAAGAGCTCATGAAACTAATTACTACATTTAGGTATTCTCAACAATGCCGCATGTGGTGTTAAGTCCACATAAGAAACCAAAATTTAGCCAGTAGGCAAATGTGACGAACCACAATCAACACTCTAAGATCTTGATGTAATTTTTTATGCCAAGTAAAAAATGCAGCAACTTACCAAATGACATGCACGAGACTTCCATTAGATGTACCAAGGGTCTTTTTGCAAAGAGTTCCGGCAAGAAGTTCCCCTCTTTCAATTCGCACTTGAGTATCCCCCGGAGTTATGAATCCAGTCTCTGTATCTGCGTGCCAAGCAGAGTACCTCAACAGATTTATCTGTTTTGGTATGATAAGATTAAAAACTTGTTTGCCAGTCCAAAGAGGACGAGGCTTCAAAATTGCAGGAGCCGGAACTTTCCCGTCGAAGTCTTCCCACCACATTAGTGTATTCATGAATACATCCTGAAAAATGGATAAGATATTAGCATAAGAGTTGGTTTATCCTCTCATCCAAATCACAGATAACTTTAACAAGCAACCGCTAAGGAAACTGTTACCTTCTCTATGAAGGTATCTCTCTTTGTGATTTTACGGCACCCTAAGAGGGTATCCTGCACAATTCCCATCACAGGCCGATTCGCCTGAGGGGAGACAATACATTTAGGAACCATCATCAGCTCTAACACCTCGGCTCTGGTCTCGAATGACTGTGGTACATGCATGTTCATCTCATCCCCATCAAAATCAGCATTGTACGGAGACGTGACAGACAAATTCAGACGGAAAGTGGAATATGGCATAATCCTAATCCTGTGACCCATGATAGACATTTTGTGCAGACTTGGTTGACGATTAAACAGAACAAAATCACCATCCTGTAAATGCCGCTCCACCTGTGACCAAGAAAGCATTAGAAATGTCGACTTCCAGAAATAAACCTTTGTGAGTTAAGTGGATAGAATAAAGAAAAGTAGTACATACTTTGTATCCAAGTTCCAAATGTTGATCACTGCTCTTCTTAAGGTACCGAAGATCTAGTCTTTGGCCATCGTCCCTTATGATATATTTCGCTCCAGTCTTGCCAGGTGGAGGATGTGGCCCATAATCAACGAGCTCTTTTAATCTGCCAAAATAAATTGTCAACAAAACATGGGAAAATTACTCTGAGATAATGAAATAAACACCAGACGTTCTAACCTTTCAATGTTATAAGGAGTAACTGTTTCTGGGTATGTGAGATTCAGGGCAATACTCCATGGAACACCAAGTTCATCAATATTTATTGTTGGATCTGGTGTAATAACAGTACGTGCCGAGAAATCAACTCGTTTTCCCATCAAGTTACCCCTGATTCTGCCTTCCTTGGCCTTCAGCCTACTACATATTGATTTAATAGGCCTCCCTGATTTCTGAGTAGCCTGAAGAAAATAAAAGCCAATCCAGATAAAGCAACATCCGTATGTATCATACCAGATATCTGGAAGGATACAAAAGCATTACCCTTGGCTGTCCAGGCAACTCGTTATCAAAATACGTAGCTATATGAAACTGCAAGAGTTGTGTAAACTCTGATATAATATGAGCTGGCGCTCCATTTTTTTCCTGCCTTTTCAAGTTTTCATTGTGTCGAATAATCATGGCTAGCTGATGGGTCAAGTCATCCTGCATCAACAATAAGCATGATGTCAGGGACACACACTATGTTGGTATAATCAAAAAGAAAGTTGTAACGTAATAATTCAACATTGACAGTCAAGAGGAACTCTATACCAGAATCGAAGAAAAGTCCTTATTCAGAAAACCATAGTCGACTTACCTCACTTCTGGAAGTGGCATCCATCATTACAGATGGTCTGACAGGGGGTGGAGGAATAGGAAGGACTTCAAGAATCATCCAGTCAGGACGAGCAAACTTAGGGTTGAACCCTAGGAGTTGACAATCCTCATCACTAATCCTCTTCAAAACACTCAAAACCTGCAAGAATTACCCATGCCATTAGATTAAGCCAAACATGAAGAGGTAAGTTCATTCGAAAGAAAAGACGAACCCTATCAGCACCAAGTGTCTGTTTCCTTTCGGCAGGCTCCGGAAGCTGGTCTGGCTCATCGTTTTTCTTCCTTGGAATTTTGTATTCTGCAATCATCTTCATACCCTCGATAGTCAGCTTTGGTTGTTGAGCACCACATCCACCTCGGCTCTTTTTTACTGGTTCGTCAGTGTCTTGGTTCTGGACATCATCAATATCATCACCACCTTCACATTTGGTCTTGTTTTTACAGGCATCTAGAATCTTCTTAAGCCTATTCTTGGGGTTCTTTATCTTCATAGCCTGTTTAAACTTGTGCTCCTCCTTCATGAAAATAAACAATTGAAGAACAGCTAGTCAAACAAAGACATAAGCAAAACAAGTAATACAGGCACGAGATAAGATCCTACATACCTCATCAGCTAAAATCTTGGAGCAATTGAAGCAGACACATCTCATGATACTTAACACCGTCTTCATGAAACCAACATGATACATTGGCTTAGCGAGCTCAAGATGGCCAAAATGTCCCGGACACTCAGCCATATTAGCCATACATGTCTCACACTTCACCTTCCGATCAATTGTACCAAGCCGGATATCACTCAATCCTCCCACCTTAGGTTTACCCTTCTCCGTCGTCTCACTATGCTCAACATGTATAACAGACATTTGCCTCTGAAAAAAAACACACACAAAAAAGCCATTAGCAACAAGCGAAACTCAATTCCTTGTAGTTTCCAATTAAGATCAATAGATTGAAAAGAACATGCTCTTCAACTAAACCAATCGATTTCTTAACTAATCACGCCAATTTCCCCGCCGGCTAAACAGACGGCGGAGCAATGGACCTGAAAGAGCTAGAGAAAGCGAAAGAGAAAGGAACATTACGATCTCATCGGGGCTGAGTATGCCAAACTGGACCACCCGGACTTTAGAGACCTCGGCCGGAGAGAACGGAAATCTCGTATCCATGACGGCTAAACTCCGATCAAAGATGAATCAAAAATCGAAAACCCTAGAACGTGAATTAGAAGGGGAATCAAAAATCAATTAAACCCTAATTGTGTTTCCCTCTTTGCCAATTTGTTTGAATCTGTGAAGTCAGTAGTTTACAGTTAACTTGAGCTAAGGTTTTTTTCGTTTTTTTTTCCCTCTCTGGGTTTTGACACGACCAGATCTGGAGTTCTCTCGTCTCTTCACGAGGAGAGATGAGCAAAAGAAACACGATCGGTGCCCTAAGCCTCTATTTATAGAAAAAGAGGCGGCTTAGAGGTCGGTTGTGGTTAAATGGGCCGTAATTGTCTCAGGCCCAATTAAAATTTTTTAACGGATTGTAACGAGCCTGCGTCGGCGCTGACCAAAGAAATTGTTTTATATCGGATCAGTTGGTTTACCTTTACCGTCAAATATTTCGGTTTAGTCAAACCGATATATCAAGAACAGATTGCTTCAGGATGGTTTTGTACATCATCAAACGGAGAGCCGCCAACCATGGGAGCTGCCAACCTCCGTAGAAGTCTATCTCCATTACATACAGAATTCGAGGCTCTTCTCTGGGCGATGAAGTGTATGATTGGTGCAGATAATCAAGAGGTAGAGTTCCTTACAGACTGTTCTGATCTGGTGAAGATGGTGTCTTCTCCAACCGAATGGCCGGCGTTTTCAGTGTACTTGGAGGAATTTCAGAGCGACAAGGAAGAATTCTCATCCTTCTCTTTATCTTTAATTTCTCGTAATGCTAATGTAAAAGCGGATAATCTAGCACGAAAGATTCGTGCAGAACCGCTACATATCACATATGTAAACAACATTCCCCAGGAATGGCTCTTTTGAGCTCTAATTAATTTCGGATGACAAAAAAAAAAAAAAAAAGATTGCTTCAGAAAATAACAATTTCCGAGAGCAACCCAACAATAATAGTTCCATTATTTTCCACCATGTTTGGTAAAGGGGACAATATACTGATCTAAACCATTAAAGTTTCTATTCAATTAACTGCTAGTGGCCAAAGCTATAAAGGAAGAGGAGTCCCTAAGCTAAAAGACTATATATAATCTGTAATTTAGATTGAAACGTTAATTTATCTTCATTTCATCTTCAGAAATAGGAAATACCTAACTCCTTCAATATTCCAAAAGTGATTAATGAATTTGGGAGTTAATAAAATGAAATTATTGTTCAACTCTGGCAAAGTAGGGTGAACTCATTAATACAGAGAAACTAACAAAGAAATATTACACGGAGGCATAGTCCCAACTCTATGGTCAAGTTATGTGAGTGAAGCCACTTTGTTTATGTATATAACAGACACGCTAAGACGAGAACAAAACAACCACATAACAAATTATTATACTTATAGCATCCATCTTCAAATGTATGTTTTCAGTGTAACGTCTTTTGTTCTTTTGATTTAGATCTCTCTATATATGATTCTTCAAACTTTCTAGAATCAAACAAAAATAATGGCGAAGAAACCGAAGCACCTCCGTAATCAGCCGCGTAAATCTTTTTCGACGCAAGCTTTCACAGTTCTCATACTTGGACTCTTTGTCATTTTGATCCTTGTCGGTCTCGGAATCCTTTCACTACCTAACACCAACAAGAACTCTTCTAGGCCGATGGATTTGACCACCATTGTACAAACGATCGAGGAGAGGTTAGGGATATGATTTTTCTGATGTTTTTGTGTTTTTGTTTGTTACATTAAAGTGATTTAAGTAATAGCTTTTGAATTTATTAAGTAGGGAGAGTTATGGAGACGAAGAAGACGGTAATGGTGACCGCTGGCTCGAAGTTATCTCGTGGGAGCCTAGAGCTTTTGTTTACCACAACTTCTTGGTAATTTTTTCGGATATATTTCTGATCAAGATTTGTTTTATGCTTGATCACAAGTTAATTAACATCTTCATGCTAGTTCATATAGTTTTTAAGTGTTTCTTGTCAGACAAGCTAACAAAGGTTTGAAAATTTGATCTATATGCTCTGTTTCTTTAAATTTTGTAAGACAAATGAAGAATGTGAGCACTTGATTAGCCTCGCGAAACCTAGTATGGTGAAATCAAAGGTGGTCGATGTGAAAACCGGACAGAGCATAGACAGCAGGTTCTGTATTATAGTCTTGTCATTTTCGCCCTTTCAAGCTTAGTTTGGAAAGATTTGAGAGAATTCTAAATTTGCAAATCATTGGTTATGCAGAGTACGAACCAGTTCAGGAACTTTTCTTAAAAGAGGACATGACGAAATCGTGGAAGAGATTGAGAATAGGATTTCAGATTTCACCTTCATTCCTCCAGGTATGTGGCTTCTGGTTTAATTGTCCAAAACTTAAATCGTGGAATTTTCTTGTGGTTAAAGTAATGTAATCGCAGAAAATGGAGAAGGGCTACAAGTTCTCCATTATGAAGTTGGGCAGAAATATGAGCCTCACCATGACTATTTCTTCGATGAGTTCAATGTCAGGAAAGGAGGACAACGAATTGCTACAGTACTTATGTACCTGTAATGTAACCATAAAACCATTTCTATCTTTCTCATTAGCCACAATGCCTTTGTTAATTGATCTTATTTCTTTGATCTGTACTACTTAGCTCGGATGTTGATGAAGGCGGCGAAACAGTTTTCCCTGCAGCCAAAGGAAACATTAGTGCTGTCCCATGGTGGGACGAGCTCTCACAATGTGGTAAAGAAGGACTCTCTGTTCTGCCAAAGAAGAGAGATGCTTTACTCTTCTGGAGCATGAAGCCTGACGCGTCTCTAGACCCTTCTAGTTTGCATGGTGTGCCTTTCTTCAAACTTCTTTAAATCTCAAGAAACCCATTTGAAATCTTGAACTAGTAGAGATCTGAAACCAAACCTCTCAAAATATTGTCTGATTGATATAGGTGGTTGTCCAGTGATCAAAGGAAACAAGTGGTCATCAACTAAATGGTTTCATGTTCACGAGTACAATTGACTTGAACAAAAAGAAGATAGCTTTTGAAGAGGTAATTAAGCACTAAACCTCACTTTGCATTGTCTCTCAAGATTGTTTATTTGTTTTAATGTTTCTGTCGTCTTTTGCAGATTTCTATGATCTCACCAACATGTACTAGTATGTGTATCATCAATTTCATCCTGATACGTCTCTCAGAAGCTCTCAAACGCTGCACCATCAAAATCACGTTCTGCCCTTTTAAGTTAAATCTTATTGATACACATAATAAATAAATACGTATGTATACGAACAATTTTCCTTTTGGTGTGTAAGAATCCCCACGAATACTTCAGCATTTTAATTAGATGAAACAAAAAGAAGACACATTGTTAAAATTATACAGGTGAGTTACTCACCACACTTTTCGACTCTTTCCAACAATCTACTGTTGAGTTTTTTTGTTACCTATATGCAAAATGTTTTAAGTCCACCTACATAAACACAAGATAGACATATATGAGGAGAAGAGTCCTAATTCTTGGAGTCATAGAACACTTAAGCCATATTTAACCTTTCAAAGCATATATCCATCTTAGAGGAAAGAAAAAAAAAAGAATATATCCATCTTTGAAAGCACACACTCATTAAACTTCTCGAGAATTTCTTGTTTTTTCAAGACACGTGTCACTCGCACAGCAACAGTTGTAGTCCATTTTTCTTTTTTTTCCTTTTTTTTTAGGACTTGTATAAAAAGGAGGTTCTATAGAGTTATTTATGAATCACACAATTCATAAAAGGAAAACCCTAAATTCGTTTTCTCTCTAAAGTTTTGTTACGAGTTCATATGTTTTACTCACTTGCGAACTCAATGTCTAAGTCGACGTCACTGTCTACCATACTGTATCTGAGGCAGAGGTTGCACGGGCTGAAGATATATGAAACTTCAGATCTAATGCAGCACATCAACACGTTCGATGAATTAGTCAGTGAACAAGTGTCCGTGGATGTGAAAATTGAGGAAAAAACTAAGGACATGATCTTGTTGTGTTCTCTGTCCCCCTTGTTAACAACACTTACTTGTAACATGAAGGTTGCTGCATCGTTGCGCTTTCCAAGTGAGCGTTGGCTCGAAGTCATAACAAAGGAGCCTAGAGCTTTCGTTTACCATAATTTCTTGGTAATTCTTTTTGCTTCTTAATTTGGTGTAATTTTTTTATTTAGGTTTGTTAATGTTACTAAAATTTCCCATGTAGTTTGTGCTAGGGAACATACGTTTCTCTCATGATTTATATGCAAATGTTTAAGATTTGATCTTAGGCTCTCTTCTTTAAATTTTGCAAGACAAACGAAGAATGTGAACACTTGATTAGCCTCGCGAAACCTAGTATGGCGAGGTCCAAGGTGCGCAATGCGATAACCGGACTGGGTGAAGAAAGCAGGTTATATTTGTGCCCTGTTTTCATTTGATTTTTCCCTCTTTAAGTTAAGTTTGGAATTCTCTTAATGTGGTGCAGCTCACGGACGAGTTCAGGAACTTTTCTTAGAAGAGGACATGACAAAATCGTGAAAGAGATTGAGAAAAGGATTTCAGAATTCACCTTCATTCCTGAAGGTATGTGGCTTCTGTTTTAAACTGTCCAAAAAGTTTGGATTTTCTGACCAAACAAGGTCTAAGATCATTACATTATTGTGGAGTTAATGTCATTTAAGTGCAGAAAATGGAGAAGCGCTTCAAGTTATCCATTATGAAGTTGGGCAGAAATTTGAGCCTCACTTTGACGGACTTCAAAGAATTGCAACTGTTCTTATGTATCTGTATGTAAACCATCAATAAACCCTTTATAATCTTTCTCATCAGCCACGTAAAAATAATATTGCGTAAGTTAATCTTCTTTTTTTCTCGTTGTATGATTACTAATTAGCTCCGACGTTGATAAAGGCGGCGAAACAGTTTTCCCTGAAGCCAAAGGAATTAAAAGTAAAAAAGGAGTATCTGTTAGACCAAGGAAGGGAGACGCTTTACTCTTTTGGAGCATGAGACCTGACGGGTCTCAAGACCCTTCGAGTAAGCATGGTAAGAGACATTGCCTTTCTCTAAACTTGTTTCAAATCGTAATAAACCCTTAATTATGACTTGTTGAGATCATGAGATGTAAAACAAATCTCTCAAAATTTTGTGTGTTTGATTTAGGTGGGAGTCCAGTAATCGAAGGAACCAAGTGGGCATCAACCAAATGGTTCCGCTTTCATAAGTTCACCAACACTAAATGGTAAGCTCTTACCATCACTTCGAAGTGATATTGAAACCTTTAGAAAGGTCTCAGATTATTTTTATGTTTTGACAACCTTGACAAGATAATTTTCATCCTCTAGCTCTTTAGATTACTTTGTTTATTTTCTGCTGTCAAAAACTACAATATATGTGTTTATCTTCCACTGGTAGAATATACTTCCATCAATGCGTACGACCAAAAAAAAAAAATGAGTTCGCATATTTATTTGAAATAAATAATGACTCGACAGTGATAATGTTTCCAATTGACTAGCAAGAAGCAAAAGATGAAAGAGAACAAAAAGCAAAAGTTTAAATTAACGTCATTCTCGTCCTCCTCCCTGCAAACATTTTTATTGCAACAAACCTTTGGATATAACTCAAGTCTCTGGTTGCTTACCAGATTTATTGTTTGATAAGATTCCTGATAACGTATTGCAATATCCCTCCGTGATCGAAATAAGCCAACTCCACCTGCACATTCCAAATTCCTCTTATTTATCTAATTCTGATATAAAGCTAAAAAAAAAACTCAAAGACGAAAACACGAAAATATATCATCGAGAGATGACCGACCTCTGTATCGAATCGGAGTGTACATGTGAAAGATTTGCCATTGTTTGTGATGACTGTTACATCTTGTCCTGGTTTTATCTCACTAACATTGTTTGGGAGATCAATGGTGTAAAGCTCCTGACCCGTTAGGCCTAGTGTCTCGGCATCTTCTCCTGTCTTGAAGCACAAAGGTATGATTCCCATTCCCACCAAATTGCTTCGGTGAATTCGCTCGAAGCTCTTTGAAATCACAGCTTTCACACCCTGTTGTTACAATTTTTTAAAGAAACCGCGTAAACCAAGTGTAAAAACGTGTTGGTTAAATACAGAAAAAGCCTGAGCAAGCGTTTACGCCAGAGATGTACCAGAAGCATTGGACCCTTGGCAGCCCAATCACGAGAACTTCCACTACCGTATTCAGCACCAGCCAAAATGATTGTGTCGCGTCCCTCGGTCCTGTATTTCTGGTACAGCACGAAAAGAGAAATAATCTGATAAGAACAAAGCTATGAACTGCTATTCTAATTCCAGTTGACCAAATCAGAGAACCAAACCACAAACTTTCCACCCCCAGTACAATCTGCTGAGACATTATTATTACCTCAGCCTTCACTAACTGTTCTCTAAAACAACTCACAGCAGCTCTAATCTGCTAAGATACAATAGACCTATAGCTAAGAGTTGAGCAGTAGTACTTATCGTAATCCTAACCCAACCTCATGACCAAGAGCTAGAATTTGATGTTTTAGAAAAGATAAATAAAAAAAAGGTGTGAGATTATACCATGGCAGCATCAAAGACAGAAAGCTTCTCTCCTGTGGGAATGTGAACTGTTTTGGGACCAACTTCTCCTTTCAAGTGTTTGTTGACAATACGGATATTAGCAAAAGTGCCTCTTGCCATAATCTCATCATTACCACGGCGACTCCCGTAAGAGTTGAAGTCTCTTCTGTCCACACCTCGTTCCATCAAGTACTTAGCCGCGGGACTGTCCTTGTGGATGCTACCAGCTGGTGAGATGTGATCAGTGGTAATACTGTCTCCAAAATTGAGTAAACAGTATGCGTCTTTCACACCATGTGGACCGGGTGGTGACATGGTCATGCCCTTGAAATAAGGTGGCTCGTGAATGTATGTTGATTTCGGGTCCCACTCATAGAGAGTACCTGACGCGACAGATAACTGATTCCACATGGAATTTCCTTTGGTGATTGCTTCATATGTAGCTTTGAACATATCAGGAAGGACACTAGATTGAACAACCTGAAAAATTGAAACAGAGAATTTGACATTCCCTCCACTTATAAAGTCTCATGGTTTACGTATTGCACGAGCAGCCCATATATATTTACCTCAGCAACTTCTTTGTTAGAGGGCCAGATGTCCCTGAAAAATATCTGTTTGCCATCTTTCCCAGTTCCAATGGGCTGTGTCTCAAAATCAATGTCAACCTACAAGAATATTCATTGGGAATGATTCTGTGCTTCATATAACATGAATGCTTGATTGTTGGGAAATGGCTTTAGAGTTAGCATTAACATACCGTTCCAGCCAAAGCATAGGCTACAACAAGCGGCGGGGAAGCTAGATAGTTAGCCCTTGTTAACGGGTGAACACGTCCCTCAAAATTTCTGTTCCCGGACAACACAGCGGATGCCACCAAGTCTTGTACATATATGAGAAATATTTTAATTTGCCCTTCGAAAATTCAAGTGAATAAGCATTACATCATTAACTACTAGAGGACTTACCATTATCAACTATTGCTGAAGCCACAGCTTCATGGATATCCCCTGAGTTTCCAATGCATGTGGTACACCCATAACCAACTATACTGAAGCCGAGCTGATTCAAGTACTTCTGCAAGCCACTGCAAAACTTGAAAACTCAGGACCACATAATACAGAGAATAAGGAAATAAATAACAAAACATTCAACGGTGTATCAGCAGTACCTCTTTGCCAAGTACTTTGTTACAACTCCAGAGCCTGGAGCAAGACTAGTTTTAATCCATGGCTTAACCTAATAATAAAGAAAATTTCAAACACTTCTATTATTTTCATTGCACATAAAGATATTAAAACACGATCACACAAGTAGTCAAACCTCCAGTCCTAGTTCGCAGGCCTTTTTTGCAACCAAGGCAGCGCCAAGCATTACACTAGGGTTCGAGGTATTTGTGCAACTGGTGATTGCTGCTATAACAACATCTCCATGTCTAAGCTGTGCTGTGGTCCCGTTAAAATTGAACTCTACAGCCTTACTCTGTGCTTCTTTAGGTACAGCAAAACCCTGGAAAATCATGGATAAGTAGTATCACTAACCACTATTTTTGAAACAATGGAACTAGATTAAAAAAATCAGAAGTGTTGCAGGACACAGTTATTTTATCGGACCCGCTAAAAGACTCGAATACGTCGACATAATACCTACTACTCTTTCATAATCACAGTAACATTAGCTAGAGGTGCCATAATTTTCTACAGATTAAGCTCTCAGGAATGCAAGCAATCACATCTTCTCAACAGAAAGGAGAGTACTAACCTTGAATCCCACTCTATTATCCAAGCACGAATGCCAGTCTGCCTTCATTTCCTTCAAAGGAACACGATCGTGAGGCCTGTATTGTACATAGAGAATAGACATTGTAAGTAGAATGGATCCTAGATAATTTTCTGTCGAAACATTCACTGATGGTACCTCTTGGGACCAGAAACACAAGGTTCCACATCCTCCAGATTCAATTCCAGACATGAGGAATAAACTGTCTTACTCTCTGGCTGAGATGTGTAACAAGTTCAAAGTGAAGCATATGTTATGCAATATGATATATGACAAAGGCATAAGGAATGAACCATTAGGGAGCCCAAGGTTTACCTCACTGTAATCCACAAACATCTTGTTTGCTCGTAAATACGCCTCTATCATAGAGACCTGCAATTCAATTCACAAATCAATACCCTTATGAAACTCTTTAGCACACTAAATTATGAAGATTTTCCTTGCAACCCTAAATGTGATATTTTTGTGCATTTACTTACAGTGTCATCGCTCCTGCCTGTCAACCTTAGATACTGCAACGTGACATGGTCGACTGGGAAGAATCCCATGGTTGCACCGTACTCAGGAGACATATTGGCAATTGTAGCACGATCAGCTAAAGACAATTCTCTCATCCCTTCCCCTGTGTATGAAAAAGCAGTAGATGCATATGTGAGCTAGCCTAACTCAGTTAGGTACTGCGTAAGTAAAGAAGTGACATATATGAAATATGATATCAAATCTTTCATGAATGTACCGTAGAATTCAACAAACTTTCCAACTACTCCATGTTTCCTCAGCATTTGAGTCACTGTTAAGACCAAATCAGTAGCTGTCATTCCATCTCTTAGTTTTCCTGTTAGCTTGAAACCCACAACACCGGGCAGGACCATGCTCATTGGCTGCATAGAAAGAGATGGAAACTCCATTAGAATTATTAAAAGGATGTAGTTTATAATAAAATAAACTTCAACTGCCAAAGAAACATCCCTAGATTAGAACCAAAGTTTCAGAAAGCGTTTAGGCAGTCAGCTAACCGAAAGAGCATCTAATCTACCTGACCAAGCATGGTAGCTTCCGCTTCTATACCGCCAACTCCCCATCCAGCAACACCCAATCCATCAATCATAGTGGTGTGAGAGTCTGTGCCAACAACACTGTCTGGGTAAAGAAGTCCATTTGTGTTGAAAACAACTCTGGCAAGGTATTCAAGGTTGACCTGTCAATTGCAAAATTATAGAAGTTAGTATATCTTGAATAAGCATAAAAAATACTTCCAAGTTTAACCAATTCCGTAGTCCCTGAAACCTCTACTTACTTGATGAACTATTCCAGATCCAGGAGGTACGACAAGCATGTTGTGAAAGGCATTGGAGCCCCACTTAAGAAAAGCAAATCTTTCCTTGTTACGCTGGAACTCAAGCTCCATGTTTGCCTGCACTGCGTTCTCTGATCTCGCCACATCAACCTGAACGGAGTGATCAATGACAAGATCTACAGGGACCTGCAATTATCAATGCCTTGTATCAAACCTTATAGCATACCACAATGACACAAATTATTAACCAATCTCGATAAAAAGCGAGGAAACTAACCAGTGGGTTAATCTTATTAGAATCCCCACCGAGATTATTCATGGCATCTCTCATGCAAGCAAGATCAACAACAGCAGGGACACCAGTAAAGTCCTGAAAATCGAATACACATTCCAGCATTTTCAGGAAATCAGCAACATTATCTTATCCAGATTGTGTAAAGCAATCATGGTTTACCTGAAGAAGAACCCGAGCAGGTTTGAACGGAATCTCAACCTGTTTGGGAGAAGTATTCTCCCAATCAAGAATCTTCTCAACATCGTTGCTCTTAACTTGAAACTCATCACAGTTACGTATGGCAGATTCAAGAAGTATCCTAATGGAATAAGGTAGTTTATCTGCATACACCACAACATTTCTCTCAAATCAAAACTCATAAAAATCACACCTACGAGATCACAACAACATTTTTTCAATCATTTCCACCTAAACATCGATCAGAGGTAAAGCAAACTCACCGATCCTGGGATCGTTCAAAGCAGGCAAGCTGTAGTAGTTACCGAATTCGCCACCATCAGGCTTCTCTAACGCCTTCAATATGCTCCGGAAAGGATTCTCGGAAGCTGAAACGCATCAGAAACAGAGATCGACACAGAAAATCAAAACACAGAACCAGATTTCAAAAAATAGCGAAAATAGCTGGGAAAAAAAACAGCATCGACGAGGACAAGAAGGAAGAATCGTGAATCATTTTGGATCGTAAACAAAAAATGGAGAAAGCAGAGAAATCGATACCCATGGATGATGATACAAGTCGAGTGAAGAAGCGAAGTAGAGAGAGATCTGTTTCAGAAGAGAGAAAGTTTATTATCGGAGTTGGTGAGGCTTCCACGAGTTTGAGCCGATTTAGATATTTTTTTATATGTAAGAATGGAAAATAATCTGACAGATCCGTGGTGGGCTCTTTCGTCAGAACTGATGGCTGTTTGAATTTTTATTTTTTTAATTCTATTTTCTTAATTTTCCTACTTTTTTTTTCTGAGTTTATCCATTCTTTGCTTTTTTTTTTGTATCAAGTGAATTTTATTTTCACAAACTTGTAATCCACCATCCTTATGTTATGTCATATGTGCCTCTTATCTATAAAATTGTATCTAGTTGACTAGTTTCATGTATCCAATTTTCTTCAAGGTTTCTCAATTTCAAAAGGCGTTAATGAAAACCTTATTTTCTGACAAACATATAAATAAAATCAATGATCGTCATTAATTCACCTGGGTGACAATACCAAAAAAAAATCGCCACCATCTGCATGCAACCATTAAAAAAATAAAATGAAAAATACATATTTATTTTGAATATGGGTCGCTCCGTTCGAGTTTGATGTTCTAATTGATTTGGGCCCAACCCATCTTTGTAACCGGTTTGGTCTAGCCCAGCTTGGTTGATAGACGGGGTCGTTATGAAGTCACATTAAACGATGTCCTTTAGCTGAAAACTATAAAAGGAAAAGAAAAAACTGGTTATCCATAATTAGCAAATCAGATTAGAATGAAATTTGGGCTCAACAGAATGCATCACTACCCAATCCAGATGAAATTGTTGAGGCCATGATTAGATGTGTATATTTAATTTTATTCTTAGCAACAGTACTTCTCGTCTCTTAAATATTATAATCTGTATTAAAACATTGTCCATCAATATATCCAGCTAAAAATCTATTACTAACTATTAGTAGTAGTTGCTTGATCGTGGTCAGCGTATCTGCTTTTAAGAAACCTAACTAGTTTCAGTCCCTAGCTAGAATCTGAAGCATCTTTGTGTAATTTTTTAAAAAAGTTACAAGATCATGTAGATATTACTATTACATCATAAATATCGACAACTATGTTTAACGAAGTGGTATTTGCCCAAAAAAAATGTTTAACGAAGTGGTTTTTAGAATTGGTGGGCGGTGGCTCATATGATTTCGACTTTTTTACTAGACGAGAAAGAGACTCATGATTTCGTCTTCTTTACACACTTTTGTCATTAATTTCTTCCATTTATCGTCTTTTTCAATTTGTTGGATCGTATATACGTTTGTTTATTTTTAATATGGACGAAACCATATAAAGTATCTGATATTTATGGAGTTGATTTGATGATGATTTCATACAAATAAATTAAGGAGCAGATGCAAGTGGTGGCCGGGTTAAATTATCAATCACGCCAATTCAAAGACGCACCGGTAAAATGTGACGTGGGTCAGCATGTAGATAACCTACCAATCATAATTATATCTTCTTTGTTTATTTGGCTTTTTTATTTTCCAAAATTTTATATTATTATATCACTTATAGGTAAAATTCTGTTACTTTCACTTACCCATTGTTAATTTTTTTTTTCTTTAAAAAAATAACACTTAATTCTTTGTCACAAGATGCAAATACGTACTCATAAAATATTATGTTTATCATGTTCAATAATATCCTCTCGTAAATATAGAAATTTTTGTAAAATGATTTACAGGAGAGTGGTGTGGAGACCACATTTGAGTTGAAGTATCATCAGTAATACGATTTTTCTTTTGGGAGGAAAACTAGTAAACACAATCGGCCAAGTTCACTACAATACATAGAGAAACTCACTCTCAGCAGTGAAACTAAACATACAAGACATGTATGTAAGTGACACGCAACCATGTATCATGCATATGGTTAGATTTCAATTTAATCACCCATGGGACCAGCTTCCGGACCATTAATTGCCCCTTATGTCAATAGAATTTTGGGGAAATATATTGGGGTAGATATATATTTCTTTTTTGTCAACTATGCTATGGTTGAAAAAATTATGAAAGATCAAAATTATAAGAAAATGATCCCCTGCAGTATATATTATGCAAAAAAAAAAAAGTGATGTTTGTAGTCGATACTCATTAGATGAGGCATTGTCTGTAATTATCTCAATGCTAAATTTATGTAATGTTTTTTTTTTAATCTGAAATGAAACGTTTAGTCTCGATGTAACACATAAAAAATGTTGTGATTTGCTTTGACAACAGTACAGTTTTTTTTGTTCTTTTTGGAAAATGGATCGCTATAGACCATGATGAATTAATTGATGATCGACTAATTACCAATGTAGAGATCCAAAAACGCAGTCTTGGAATACAGTTATATAGAAACGGTAAAGGGTATTTCAGCTTCTGGCACGTAATAGCTAGCACAATAACAAAGTCTCACCGTACCCATTTTAGTTTGGTATAACAATAAAGTATTGCTCATATTAAGGAACTTACTATAAACGGAAAGGCAGAATCAAATAAGATTTTAAAATTTCCTCAAATAGTTAACATGTATAGAAATTGTTTCTGTTTCGTATCTAATTGTTTCTTCTGATTGCTTGTATTATTCGTAAAGGACCCTACCATATTTTGGTATTATTCAGACAATCTAAATATCTCCCGTATTTCCCTGTAATTTAAATAATCTATCACATTTACATTTACATTTACATTTAATGTAAAAAAGAGAAATTATTTTATTAATTATAAATATCTTTATACATCTAGCTTGCGCGCTTATCTCTCTTTACCTCTCTCCTTCTCTCAAGCATTGAAATGATAAAAACATTGTAGTGGTGTTTTCACCATCGATCTTGACAGGCAAACCCTAGATTTTACTTCACCTACTTGAGGTTAAATTTTTAAAGGAAACGACGACCGAAAGCTTTAATTGCAAGTAGGCCAGACATCGGATCTTCTCTCTTAAGGGCTAAGCAAAACCCATCTCTCCTCTTTCTTCTTCTATCTTCTTTCTCATCTCTCTCTCTCTTCTCTCTTGTATAAGCTCCACTGAGCTCTGTTTTCGTTTTTACCGTAGATCGTTTCGAGTCTCTTTCTCTATATATATTCATTGGAGGGTTCTGTAAAAAAATGGCATCTTCTAGATTCCAATCTGGGTTTTGTCCTATCTCTTCGTGTCCTTCTCTTGGGAATTTCGTCGAAAGGATTAAAGACGCATGTCGTTTCACAGTCTCCGCTGTTCTAGGGACAATTCTCTCGGCGATCTTGACTTTCTTATTCGCATTAGGTCGGCCTCTCGTTTCCTATTTACATAAGTTCTTGATTCTGTTCAAGAATGTAGAAACTTGCTCTTATCCCAATTTAGTCTCCGTGTGGTGCAAATCCGAAGTTTTTATGAAGCTTTTGTCCTTCTTTGGATTGATTTGATCATTGATAGCTCTTTGCTGATGATTAGACAGAATCTGCAACTTTGGTTTGATATAGAGCTAAGAAAGTTGTTTCCTTTCTCTCTTCTCCAGTGGGCACATTGCTTGGAGCACTTACTGGAGCTTTGATAGGTCAAGAAACCGAAAGTGGGTTTATCCGAGGAGCAGCAGTTGGAGCCATTTCAGGAGCTGTTTTCTCTATCGAAGTTTTCGAATCATCTCTTGTTCTCTGGAAATCTAATGAGTCACGTTTTGGATGTCTCCTCTACTTGGTGAGCTGAGATCTTCATTTAAACTACTCCTCTCCTCTGTTTTTTTAAGTACCAGATTTGATTCGAACTGATTCTTGTTTCTTGTTAATCTTTGTGTAGATTGATGTCATTGTTAGTCTTATAAGTGGTAGACTTGTGCGGGAACGAATAGGTCCAGCGATGCTAAGCGCGGTTCAAAGTCAGGTACAGTTTTATTAGCAATGTGTTATTGGTTTCATATCCGCAATGAGATCTCGCCTATATTCATCTCTCTTCTCGCTGTTCAGATGGGAGCTGTGGATACAACTTTCGAAGAGCTCTCGAGTATTTTCGATACCGGTGGTTCAAAGGGGTTAACAGGAGATTTGGTTGATAAAATACCTAAGATCAAAATCACTGGCAAGAACAGCTTGGATGCTTCTGGCAACAAAGACTCGTGTTCTGTTTGTCTTCAGGTTTTTTGCTCATTTCAGCTCAAATGAAACCGCAAATTCAGAACAAAAAGGTTTAATTCTTGATCTTCTTGTTTTTGTGTATAACTTTTGCAGGATTTTCAACTTGGTGAAACGGTGAGAAGCTTGCCACATTGTCATCACATGTTTCACTTGCCTTGCATAGACAATTGGCTCTTCAGGCACGGATCTTGTCCAATGTGTAGACGGGATCTGTAATCTTCTTTCTTACCATTTTGCACAGTCTCTCCCTCTCTCTTCTTCTTCTTCTTGTATGGTGTCGTAATCATGTGGTTAGTCTCTATATGTACAAAGAAATGGAAACAAAAAAAAAAGTTTTGAATTAAGTTGATCTTAACCAAACACATTAAATTCAGACTTTAGATTGTGTGTTGTGTGGATGTCGGAATCCGCAATACAAATTTTGAGATGTGTGTCGGGTCGTCTAGCCTTGATAATTCGAATAACAATCAAGAAAAAGAAAACTAAAGAATGAAGTGTATGTATCTGTATATTGCTCAAGAATTTCCCCCCACATTACAATGGTTTTCGCTCTCTATTTATAGTTACATGATTCGTAACCGAAGTCGTCTATCAAGCCGCGGATCTCGCCTTTATCATTGCTTCCGTTTCGAATCTTCATAACCTCGCAAATCCCGTGCGACCCGCGTCTCATTTAATTCGCATGATCCCGACGTTTCACCCGAACTAGGCTGGAGCTTACTGGGCTGTCCTTTTCGTCCCTTGGACTGGGCCGACAATTCATTTCATCTTATTGATCCATTATCTTTCCGGGCCGGATCCGAATTGCGGGATCCGACACCAACAGTTTGCCCCCCAAGTGTTCCGAAGTGAACACTTCGGGATACTTTAAATGCTGAACTTTTCCTCGGATTCGGAGATTTCGTCGTTAATTCCGCTTTTCCCGGGATTTGGTTCTCAACCGAAGTGACGTTTCGAGATCCTAAGGTATAATTTTTTCCGCGGATCGAGGGATTTTCCTCGGGAAGGTAAAGACGCTTCAAGATCCTAGGGTTTCTCATTTTGCCGCCCAATGACCTTCTATATAACCATTAGACTCTTCGGGTTCTGCAAACGCACACATCCTTATCTTCTTCGAACCGCTTCTGCTCTTCCATATTTAAAGGTAACTCCCTCTTCTCTCTCTTTATACTCTTCTTTGATCTTTAACTGCTTTTATAGTTCCGGAATCGTTAAGTAGTCCGCCGTCCTAGCTAGTAATCGTCAGGTTTAGGCCAGAAATCTAAAAGATTTCTTAGATTTTCAGCCGTTTGTCTGAAGATTCCCGCTGTTCTTCTTCCGCTCCGCCGTGTTCTTTGGACTCCGGCGATCCGTGCTCATTTCCCGGAGAACGTCCGCCACTGGATCTTCCTGTTTTCTGGGTTTCTACGAAGATCCTCAGAGTTTGCTCAAGCGTGTTCTTGAGGTGTTCTTGAGCTTCTTTGTTTCCAGATCTTCTGTCAAACTCCAAAATTACCAACATAGTTATGGCTCCGAGGAAGAGCAAGAAAATCCGGAGTGAAACTTTTGTCTTAGAAGGTGACTTCGGAAAGTATTTCTCATCGGATCTCGATGATAAAAAGTTGGCCTTGATGAAAGGCGGCTGCAGGATCCCGCGTCAAGTCAACCTAGTAGCTCCGGGACCCCAGGAGTCCCCAGAATCTCCTCCTAGCGACCACGCTTGCGCTTTCGAGATATTCTTTTCGGAGTGCGGTCTGTCTTTCCCTCTTCCAGGTCTTCTAGTAGAACTTATGCACGAGTTAGGGATAGCTCTTCCCCAACTCTGTCCAAATGTTGTCCGAACTGTCCTGAGCCTTCAGACTTTAGCGGAGGAAAACGGATATAAGATCTCTCTTGCTGACGTCTTTCAACTTTATACGATGAAGAAAGGTCGCACTCCGGGAACATTCTTCCTCAGTCCTCGAAGCCATTTCAAAGTCTTCGGAGATTTTCCTGATAAGGATGAACAGTGGAGGAAATCATACTTTTTCTTCCCCGTTAACGAATTTTCCTATGGTCCGAATACAGGCTTCTTTGTCCGAGATTGGACTCGTCGTCCTGGTTAGATAGCTTTCTAGGGATTGTACTGCGTTTTTTTTTAAAAACCTTGCTTTTCAACGAACTAACCCTTTTCCTTTTGTCTTTTGCAGTAAAGTTCCCGAAGAAGCCACTTTCTCATACTTTTGCGGAGCAATTCGTAAAGATTTGCAACCGCAGCGACCTCACGTGGGAATTGTTCACCTGCGAACGCATCCGAAATTCGTGTGCCCGAATCTACTCGCGGTCCGACCTCATTTCTTCCACCCCTCCCTCATCCCCTGCTGTTGCTACTAACATGTCTCCACTTTCCTATCGCGAAGAGAAGAAACTTCAGAAGGAAAGGGAAAAAGCAAGAGAAGCGAGAGAAAAAGAAGATAAGGCCAGGATGGTGAAGGCCTTAGATGATGGGAAAGCCAGATCTTCATCTGGTAAAGGGAAGAGTTCGGGTATCGCAGATCCGGTTTCCGAATCGAAGACCTCCGATCATCGTGATCAGAAGAAGGTGTCTTCGGGAAAAGACGTAATCCGGATCTCGGATTCTCGCTCCTCTCGGTCTTCTCGGGAAAAAGAAAACTCGGAAGGAGGCCACACTGCAACCTCCTCAAGGAAACGCAGGAACGAGGAATCTGAAGTTCCTCCCCTTCAACGCAAGAGTCGGTTCTCGTCTGAATGACGAGAAAAACCCTTCCGAGGATGCTGGACCCAGTCTGGGGTCGAAACCAGAAGAAAAAGGAGATTCACAACGGGCCCCGGAGTCCGAGCTGCCAACTCAGCTGCTTATCCTGCCTTCGCGGGATTCTGAGAATCGGGAATCCGTTCGTCAGGAGATTCCGATCCCTACTGGTAAGTAGAGTCACTTCGTTTTCTTCTAACTCCGACTTCGTTTTGACTTGTTTTTTTTTATTTTAACAGCTCCTCCGAAGTCACCAGCTGATTTTATGAGGAATTTCACTCCTGTTGGGATGAGGATCCCTCCCTTCAGTGACTTAAAGGAGGTCAACAGAGCGAACTACTTTCGCTTCGCTGATAAACTCGGAGAGGTAATACTTCGAACCTTTCTCTTTACATAAAAGATATATATATATATATCTCCTTTACGTCCTCATGAATCCTTGTTTTGTCAGCTAATGCTCGAGTACAACACCACCTTCTCCTGCCACGAGTCCCAGCTCTTTCCTGTTAACGAGCTGGATGGTCTTAGAACTCGGGTTACTGAACTTGAAGACGAGATCCGTCAACTCAAGGAGATGGAGGAAGAAAATGCCAGAGCGGTGGCAAAGGCGAACGAAATCCGAGAGCGAATGTTGGAGGCCGAAGCTCGCTGCAACCTTCTTGAAATTGCCAAGACTGATCTTTCCGAGAAGCTGAATTCCGGAAAGAACATGTACCTTGAGGCATGTGATAAGATTACCTCGCTGGAAGCTGAAGTTAAGCGAAGCGAGGAATGGTGCAAGGTTGTTGCTGAGAAACGGGACGAGGAGCTCGCAGCAGCGAAAAAAGATGAAAGGGTTAGGCTCCGTGAACTCTATAGCGGGCTCACCTCGAAGCATGAGACCTACTTCAAGGCCATAAGCGATAACGAGATGATTGGGACGCGTCTTGCCGAGACTCGGGCGAACCGAGAGCTTCTTGAGGAGATCCTGAAAGGAGAAATTCCGGACATCAAAGCCGAACTAGAGTCGGTAAAGAAAGATGAGGCAGAGGCTGAGAGAAAGGCTCGCGAGGTAAGCGCTCTCAAACCGCAACCAAATGAGTTTACTCATCTCTTTGTAGCGACTCCCCCTGAACCCGAACAAAAGGCATCTCTTCCCGAAGATGATGTCGCCATTGATGAGTTCGGAACTAACACGGATCTCATGGCTGGCCAGGACTTCGAGGCTGCCGTTCTGCCCGAGGAGATGCAGCAGGATCCCGACGTCAAGGATCAGTGATCTGTTTTCGGGGTTGTGATGGCTAATGTGCCCCCCTTTATTGTTTTTTCAATTTGAACCCTTTTACTGTTTTTTTTTTCTTTTTGAAGACTTGAATTTTTTACAAGTCCTTTTGAATTATAAATCCGGAGTACTCGAGAAATTTGAATACCTCGTACGAAAAATTAAGAAATACTTAAGATTTCGACGAGATACGCAGTTTACACGAACTCAGAATTTATTACACAATGGATAAGGGAAATATTAAGAACGAGAGTTATGCGGGTGTTCTCAATAGAAAAGATGAGGATCGGAACTCGGAGTTCGCAGAAATCCCTAGTCTGTGTTGAACCAGACCCTTTTTTGCTAAGTAAAACTTAGGCTTATCTTTCAAGAATTACCAGAGTTCTGAGCTCGGTTTCGAGAAAAGTAATTACGAGGTTCTCTCGGTTTCACGGATTGCGAGATAAATCTCGGCTTTTAAAAGATGTTTAAATAAAAAGTAAACATTTTATTTGATTTAGAGACTGCACTCGGAATCCGAGCTGCCTACGTACCCAAAGGTGGGGATCAAGTCTATCGTAGTTCGATTTACAATAATGAAAATAACGTATTAAATAAAGTATCTTTTCAGATGAATGGAATTCCAAGCTCTCCGAACTGCTTTTCCTTCCATGTTCTCGAGGCGGTAAACTCCATTGCGAACTACATGAGTAATCCGATAAGGACCTTCCCAGTTAATACCTAGTTTTCCAGCTCCATCTTCGGTAGTATTTTGCTGAACTTTGCGCAGTACCAAGGTTCCAACGTCGAAGTGGCGATTTCTAACATTTGAATTATAGTATCGAGCTGCGGCACTCTGGTAATTTTGCATTCGAACCAAAGCTCGATCACGTCGTTCCTCAATTGTATCGATAACGTCAACCATCAGTTCGCTATTTGCTGCTTCGTTCCGCGGATTATTCGTCCGTCTTGGACTTGGTACAAAAATTTCGGCAGGGATTACAGCTTCCATTCCGTAAACCAGTGAAAATGGTGTTTCCCCGGTTGCACGCCTAGGGGTTGTGCGAATTGCCCAGAGAACACTTTGTAATTCGTTAAACCAAGCTCCTTTGTGTGACTTGAGTTTTTTCTTCAAAGTAGACAAAACCGTTTTGTTCATTGCTTCAGCTTGACCATTACCCTGCGGGTAGCGAGGCGTTGATCGACTGAGTCTGATATGCCATTCTTCGCAGAAAGATTCGAACTGCCCCGAAATGAACTGAGGTCCATTATCAGTAACGATTTCAAACGGCAACCCATGCCTACAAATGATATCCTGCCAAATAAACTTGCGAACTTGCACCTGAGTTATGTTTACATAAGCTGCTGCTTCCACCCACTTCGAGAAATAATCGGTTAGAACCAGAACAAAT